ATAGAAGCGAAAGCCTGACTTGTCGATAAACAACTCCTTAAAGCGTCCAAACATTCGAACGCTCTGAAGGAAAATATTTCGCATTTAATTTTTTATCGCAGTACTTGATAAATGGATTTATTTAGGATTTGAAAGCTCAATCCGATTGTGTAGTCGCTTACAATAATATACAAGTCAACGTGAACTCAAGAGAAAAGCTACACAGAGTGGAAAGGAGCTTAACTCGAAGTTTAGGTTTGTTCGCAAGAAAGCAAAAGTATTTATAGCTACACGTGACCTTGGGATTTTGGAAATATTTGAAACCATACTAAATACCTAGTCAAAACGCTGGCCTATGGTTCAACGTTATTCAGATATTTCTATTCATAAATGATTAGCTAAAATCTCTTTTATCGCTTATGAGCCTCTGGAGACTCTGACGCGGAGTATTTTTGTGTCTCTTACGACGCTTTTACTTAACTATGCTGTTATATGGTGTTAGACCAATGACATAAGGTCTCGTTTAGATAAACTCAAGATAATGGCATAGAGTGATAGTCACTGTTGTTCCTCGTCTGGCTGGTGTGACTATTCTCGAATGCTTACAGATGGACGTTCGGTCCTATCCTGAGGTATCTAATGCTTGTTAACTAACCTTTCTCTTTCTATTTAGTAAACTATTTTGCTCGTACTTGATTTTTGGAAAAATGTTTTTATAGAAACAATAAGAGATAACTTATTGGGAAATGGATACATTTTAAAGTTTAGAGGATTATGGGAGAAACTTACAATCCATAACGTTTTCATTTATTTTATGATAATACTGAATTACGTGGTTCAGAGCGTATTTCTAACGACCTTACCGATACTTCTCGGCTGGGTGTCTTATCGAAAGGGTTTTTAGGATGAAACAAATCAGAAAGTGCATCAAAATTTTTCCAGTTTATGAGAACAAAATCATTTTGAAAATCGCAGATTATATGTACTCATGAAACCATGTACGAAGTACGCTGTTTTCCTATAAACCATCCAAGTAACAATGCCGTGTAGCCTCCGACTTCAAGGCAACATGGTTGTACAGGAGATTGTTGTTATCAATAAAACAAATGTCTACCTTTGTTATACAGATACTCAGAAAAATATCGGAGATGCCGAATTATATGAACATACATTAAAATGATGTGCAACCGAATCTACTTTTTGCAGAAGCAATCTTGTAATCAAGTATTTAGTAATTCCAAACTACTTCTCTTCATGTTCTCAACAAGTCGGGAAGGCGGGCGCTATTGCTAACGGGTATAGATGCATACGATATGTTTATGTAGTGCCATATGTAACAAGCTGGTTCATATGTATCCGTAGATCATCCCTCTGACAATATTCTCGCTCTACCGCTTAGTGCAGCGATTTGGCATAGAAAACGTTTGAGTTCGCACTCATAGTTAAAAAATTAATGTTTTCATAAAATCACTGTTTTTATTGCTCGTTTCAACAAATACTACCATAACGCATTCAAAGTCAAGGAGACACCTTGCCATGTCACTTTATATATCGAGCTTTCTGTAAGTTTTGATGACCTCATATAACTAGTTATAGAGATTTCGCGCCCTTTGATCTAGATCGGTTATCTTATCGAATCAATATATCTTTGGTTTCGCCGTAAATCGTCTCGACTGAGTTCGATTTTCTCTGGCTTACTGTTTATAGTTTTCTTACTCCAGTACATACTATCGTCTATACTGCTCATGTCATCAGCTGAGTTGACACCATATTGGACGAGCGTTACAAGGATGTCATTTTGTACATCATTATGGGAATTTTTCAAAGTTGATATTGTTCCCTTGGTACTAATGAATGTAGAATTGATTATAGACATAAGCTTTGATGTCAGAAATAGTTATGCTCTCTCGAATCGTGTACTTTCTAGAGAATGGTTTCGAGAAAAGTAGTTGGTTGTAGAATTATGGCTTACTATGTTATTAGTACTGCTCTAATAATATACCTAATCCTAAAGCTGTAGATTTGTCATGTTATAACTGCCTATCTATATGATCTTATGTGGAAGTCACATTATTATCTACACCACCTCATCGCATCGTAACAATTACCAATACTTGATGAAGAACAAGCTTAGGCCAGAGATAGGACAATATATTTAATATGAATGAAATATATAAGGTAACATTCAACAGGGACCACGCCCGCAAGGCCGAGCCATGCCATACGATCAACTACAATTAATTCAACACATTATCCCCGCCTTCTCCATTCTTCTGTATCTCTCCGCGTTATATGTTGAATGTTTATCTCCCATATTGTCTCGTGATAGGGCCCAATATCACTACATGGTAAATTGTTTATAAACTCTGTCACTGTTGTGAATATATATATATATATATATATATATATATATATATATATATATGAGAGGGCTATGATCTTATCAAATTACTTAGAACTTTCCTCTGATTTTTAAAGCCGACCTTCACTATGTGAGTCAATTATTTTGGGATCCACAATCTGAGGAAATGATAATGCATAGGGTTCATAAATGAATGCCTACTAATGTATGTGTAAAAGTTAGAAGTTCATGCTCAAGAAAATAAATACAGTGAGCATATGATTATAATTATAAGGAAATGTACTAATTCACAAGTTCAAAAGGTGCTTTACAAGATTAGAATGATACATTCTACTGGTTGGGTAAAAGCGTGTTGTATGTAGGGGTGATAATTGCTATCTGAACATCGTTTCAGCTTAGAACACTAAAGAGCATGGACAGAGATAAGGGTGAACTTTTAAGTATTCAGAACCTGTAAACCATGGAATTCGGTTATCAAGAAGATAGTGATCATACATTCCTCTCACTCTTTAAAAAGTTCAAAGCATCCACTTTAGTTGTGGTGCAACCGAGAGGAATTGCTCGAGATTCTTCCGCGACCACCCTGTAGTTAACTATTTTTTCGTTCTTTAAAGTTTTAGAAAATTGAAACGGGGTTTTAGCACTTTATAGACAAGAATTTTTTATAGAAACCAGAATCGGCTTCTAATAGCAAACTATTTCGTGTTACTGTCCAGTGAAGTTTGAAGTTTGAGTCTTGGTTGACCTTGGCAGTAGTTCAGTTATTCACATGTGATTGGATGGAGAAGTTATCTAGGGTACATACGGGGTCATTTGACTTCTTTGTAAAGGAGGGTCTCAGTAGATTAGTTAAGGTATTCAAAGGATAATCATTCGAATTATCTCTATAGCATTTACAACCACTGGAATTTAACAGTGGAAATGATGTCGTGGAGTTCAAAGTACAGGTAAGATAGTTTTGGTTGATAGATATGAATAGCGAAGTTTATAGAAGTAGCTCCCCCCGTCGATTCAGATAACAGATCTACACTACTTTATCCCAGCGAGGTTAGTGCATGCTAGTGTTGGCCTAAAATCATGTATAGTGCCGGAGGTCAGGACTAACATATGGAGGGGAGTTAAAGTTGAGTGTTCGTGTTTCGGTAAATGGTTCACCTTTGGGAGTTTTGGATGTTCCTTGTGGAGTTTTACCTGTCATGGTCATGTCTCGGTCATGCAACATGTCGTCTTTGCCACGTTCACAATTCTATTTACATGGTGAAGAATTCAAAGAGATTGGTGGTTATTTCATAGTCCACGGGAAGGAGCGTGTTCTAAGGTTGCTTATTATGTCAAGACGAAATTATGTAAGTCCTTGTTTGTCGCTAATTTTAATATATAGCCACTAGCCATCTCCAGACCAACTTTCAAGAAGCGTGGACATGGTTACACCGAACGTGCTATAGTGATGAGATGTGTGAGAGAAGATGAAACAGTCTCGGTAAGTTACTGTACATTTAATATGTCGAAGTAATAATTCATTACGCAGCCCATCAATTTAAAGAAGGCTATATAGTGTGGCGCAAATATATTTGTTGCCCTCTTGTACCAGTATTTGTGTTCAAATAAACAAAAAAATATAGTCTAAAGTTGAGCAATGTTTATTCTAACGGGTTATAGTTCTTAGAAAAGCAGTTACCAAGCGCGATTTAAATGTATCCTATCATAAACCAAGGCTTCTCAAATAGTTGCAACATTTTGCCCGCTCCAATTCATTAGTTGCCGCAGATACACTTGGATTGTCCTGTTCTCGTTTTAGTGGTCCGAACACCATAGTTTAGCCTGGAATTTTAGTAGTCCACAGTTCTGTCTTTTATTTTGATCCATACAAGGTAATACGAATTTTCTGTCCTCAGTTCATTAAATAGCTGTATTTCGAAGCTGAATATCAGGGAATTCATTATGAATTCAACCGAAGTGTCACAAATGCATTAACTTTTTATTCCACTTAGACTTTAACACTATTTATATCTTTGGTATATATTCGTTTATTTGAATGAATATGTTTTCCCTCTATCTCCCCACCTGTTTTCTGCCTGTTAGTGTAGTGAATTTCCGTATGTTTGCTGACTGCCAGAGTTGTTTTAACAGTCTTAGACTTATCTCTTTGATTCTTGAAATAATTAGTAATTTGAAAGGTTAAATGATTTTGATAATAACTTTCACACTATCATGACCAAACATTTGGTGCTTTTAGTTTTTGGTTTGTATTTTTGGCTTCACTGTTAAAGAGCCCGATTTTAAATCAGTATATTTTCCTCCCAAGGTTTGTACTCATGAACAAGTTAACAAAGATTTTCAGTTGTTAAATCCGTGGGACTAGTATTACGAAAAATTTCTACACCTAACAGTTAGTATCAGTGGTAATTCAAAACAGATTCTGGTTTTACATTGCACACAACTTGTGACGCCTATTTCGGTGATCGGCAGCACTTTTCCAATATTCTCTTTCGATTCAAGTTTCAATGTAAATCTGAAGAACATGATCCCATTTGTTTTAAAATGATATATTCCTATTGTATATGGAATAAAAACTTACATTTCAGATTCTGATGTTGCATTGGCTCGTGAACGGAGAACCGGCACTGGCATTCATCGTTGAACGTGAGCAGTTTCTTGTCCCTGTTTCTATTATACTCCGAGTGAGTTTAAAAATGTTTGTATAAAACTTTCGGATATAGTTTGTTTTCTTGTTTTGCTTAGGATAAACAATAAAATACGTAAAAAACTGAGACATAAGTGCAAATAAATGTATTTGCTATTCAGTTGCTTCGATAAATATTTTGTACAAACTCTAAAGTCTTGTCGACAACTACATTTCTTTTCATAAGCTAGATTATTTGCCCTTGAGTTCATCTATTAGTGCCATCTTTATGTTGGATCATCTGAAACACTACGAAAAGAATCAATAATTGAAATACCCAAATTCGTTCTGCTGCACTATCAATGTGACTACATAAACTCACTGACTGATATGCATATATCAAGTGTAATAATTATAGTTTGTTCAGCTTAGTTTTATGGAATCAAATGTCTACATTAAGTTCAGAATTTCCTTGTTACAAAAATGTTCTAATAACAGGTTTCAAGTGCAGAATATTTTTTCAACCAATAATTGTATCCACATTTATAATCACCAAGTTGTCTTTAATTTGTACTATTTGAGGCTCTGGTTAAGAAGACAGAATTTGAAATCTTCGATGATATTCGACGCGGTTGTGGGGAATCTTTTTCGCTTGAAGAGTATGTTTATAAATTAATTTCCTAATTCAAGTATTAATCTTTCACCACCGTATTGTTCATATCATGATTGGTCTACAGCTGATTGTTACTTACTTTTGCTTAAGTATAAAGCTTACTAGCTATTCTGTTCAGAATAGTTAAACGGTTTACACTTTCTGCTTATCTATACACGTAACTTACCTGTTTATGATATTACGTGGTCATTCTGTTCCGAAACGCGACCAACGCATACTGTTTGGTTACAGATTAGTAGGGGAACGATATACATATTTTCAAGTTTCTATATTTCCCTTGACATCATTTATGAAGATATCAAGTGCTTGAGATATTAACTGTATATGTTACAGTATTCAGGATTTTTAACTGATCTCACGTCATATAGAAAAACTTAAACAATGGAAAGTAGGGTTAACCTAACTTTGATTTTCAGATAAGTAATGAGAACACCTACATCAGTACCTTTTTAGTTACTGACACTTGATACAGGTTAATGTCATTAATATTGAGGAGAAAATGAGTCGTTTACTATAAGTTAGTTGTCAATTTAATCCTTTTTTAAATCTTTGTTGGACAGTACGAACATATGAAGATGAAGCTTTATTTATCTGTCGGTTAGATCATAAAGTTCGGATGTATCTGAAATAAATCTTTAATCGTCTCTAACTAGTTATTTGACTTATCAATTTGAGTCTGTACATACAATATTTCGTTTCTGTTTTTAAAAATTTCACACTAGGAATGCAATGCGGATTCTTATACGTTTAAAAGATGACGAGTACAGTTCACAGACTCGTGCTTTGTGCTATTTAGGAGGATTATTCCGCAAGCGAATGAATGTTCCCGACCGATTGTCAGATGAAGAAGCTGGAAAATTTCTACTCAGGTATTTATGACGTTTACTTTTATTTTATAGAGAAAGTTTAAGACCAATCCATAGTTTTGTATCTATCAGTGTGAAAGTTTTTCATTTATTTATCATGTGTATCATAATTATAACAGATTGATTTGATGAGCAATACTGCTGCCGAATCTCAAGTTACATTCACCACTCTAGTTTCTGAAAATTAAAGTCTCTTTAACTTCTTTTCTTATATTGTTTTGTGAAATTTGACCACCGATTTTCGGACTGAAATCGAATAGTCGGTGTGCTCCTATTGAGTCAGCTTGTCACTAACTGAATTATTTTAAAATGTGTTTGTTACTGCTAGGATAGGTAACTTGACTAGTTATGTGGTATTACAGTTATTCGGAATCGTCTAATTTGTAGCGGTCCAGTTACTTTGGTTTGTGCTGGAAGTTCACTTAGAAGATAGTAGGAACCTCTTAATTCATAACTTAAAGTTAACCATTAGTTTTATTTTTGTCAAAATTTTTTTATATGTAATTGGACAAGTTCAGCGAATTTCGCTCACAGTTTTTTGAAGGGTTTTGTCAACAGAAATGATAAATATTCAAGTCAGGACTATAAGGAAATGTGCCAAGTTTCCTAAAATGCTTTCCATATTTAGTTCTGTAACAGGTTACTAAACAGCAATTGCAACTTTACTACATATTACAAATAACCTTTGCTTCGGTACCGGAAATACGAATTTGGTGGGATAGATTACCATAAATAAATGGGTTTCTAACTGTTATTTGGAGTTGTGCCACATCCTTATTTTATGTGATTTCGTGTCTGTATTTATGTTTTTAACCAGTGTTAATGTTTACCAGTCAACCTCAACGTTTCAGATGACCTTGTGGTTTTGTCAGAAATACATTGAAACGATAAAATTGCCGTTTTTATTTGTGTTTCGTTTATTTTAAAAATTTTCCATTATTTTTCAAACCTAAATGGCCTTAGATTTATGCTTTGCCACTGAATTTTTTTGGCTTGCCTTGGTTTCATTTTGTTATGAATAAGCGATTTGATTCACCATCAATCAATAATTATACAGCTGTTAAACCTGGCTCATGTTTTTGAATTTTCAAATCTCAACTGTTGAATTATGAGTTCAAAGAGGGTTCCACTAATTTAGGTTTATATATAAAACTATGCTATTACAACTCATAACGCCTTACATAGTCATTAAGATTTTCATTATAGTTTTTATTTGAAAAATAAGCTCCTGACAGAGATTTTAGTACTATCAGATTTAAACCATTTTTGTAGCTTTGATCAAGCGACAAAATTCATATGTTGTTTAATGTTTTATATTCGCTCGAAATTGACGATAACGCTTTTGCGTTTTGATGGCAATTTCGTTTGTGTGGTGTTATCTTTCTACTGAACAGAGAATATTGTAGTAGTGTCATATATTCGACATGACCATTATGTTATGAAGCTGGGTGACTCAATAACACGAAAATCAGCAACTAACTTTACATTTTCTCGTATTATTTTTTGGCCCCACTGCTATAGAAGTCCTACTCACTATCTTCCCGCGGCTGTGTTGTTTACGAAATTCAGACGACAACAAGAATTTCCGGGGCTTAAACCGGGTTGGTGGGTACGGAGAATCTACTCAAGGGCGTTGGAAAACCCTGATTACAAAGCAACGGGGTACATGGAGTTCGGAATCCTGAGGGAACAAGTGGCGTATGAAACTATTCCCGGTCACTGGCTACCATGAGATCACAACTTCTAACGTCGCTCCACTGCCTTGTAGATTAGACTTTGAGGTAAAGGACTCAGAGAGTGACCGCCTAAGAAAAACACTTGCTTCAGTTTGGGCACCCAGGTAGTATTCTAACCCATATACAAATCTAATGATTTGTATGGAGCATACATATTTTGGTACCAATGTTTGTATTAAAACAAATAATACATTCTTAGACTTCAAGCATCAAAAGTGAAACTGGACACTTCCTACAATGATGATATGGTGCGTGGTGCTTACGTATTTTAATCAGCCAGTAAGGTTGCGGTTGTAAAAGAAATCTGAATTTTATTTCCTTCAGCCACTTTCTATAGATTTATTGTTTTTGATAAACATTCTAATTTCTGAGCACGTTTTCAAACCTAATGTGTTAATACATATTGTCATATAGGGTGTTGCTTCAAAACTTATACACTTAGTCTTTATTTATTGACTTATAGATTCATAATTAAACTGTCATTTGAATTTTTATAAATTTTTTCATCGTTACACAATTATCATAGCTCATTACCTTTGCATACTAATTTGTACTAGTCTACATTTGATGTTATTTATTAATTGTATTTGATAGACGTTTTTTCATTGATGTTTTGTTTTTTGTATAACTGTTCTAATTGTTGGTAATACACTTTTAGTGAATATATTGCAATCCACTTGTCATCATTCTTGGATAAGTATCATTTACTCTGGTGAGTTAAATCTTATTTTTTTTAAAATATTGCTACACCATTGTTAAATAAAATGTTTTGGAGGATATATATTCACATTTTATTCTTTGTAAAAATCTCAAATATAGTATTGCTATCGTTCTTTGCCTGTACTTTTCCACGTTTTCTAGTCTGATATTTTTCTGTCTCTTAAAGATCCTCAGTCAGTCAGTCAGCTGCAACGTAGGACCAGGCACGTATATGCATCGGTCCAAGTTGCCATACCGCATTAGCACAACAAGATGAACACCGGATTCATAGAAGTAGTTAATTCAGTGGTGGTAATATATAGAAGAAAGAGTGTGTATAAGGAGATAGTACAGAAAGATAGAATTAGTTCGTAGAAAGAAAGATTTGAAGTGATTTTAATCTCTTAGTTTAAAGGAAGACAGAGAGTGTATACACCGACGCCATTGTGATCGATTCTGAGCCATGTCACCAAGAGTCTCCAACCATTGGTTAAGATAGTCAGGCGGACCCCAACCAGGTAGTCTGCATCTACCAACATGGCTCAGACCGGAAGTTAGTGACTTCAAGCACTGATGCCACGTTTTGGTTTGGCCGCCCCTAACTTTCTTCCAGTCATCCCTAACACCGGTTAGCATTGCGCGTCGTGGTAATCGGTGTTCAGGCATACGGAACACGTGGCCAAACCATCTCAGTCGATGAAGATTCATAACCTCATCAACTTATTTACCATCATTCCCTAATACCCTGCGTCTAACCTCACTATTACTTACCCGGTGATCCCAGCAGATACCAGCAATATTTCTAAGGCACTGTGGTCAAATACTAGTAACTTACGAATATCTTCTACTCTTAAAGGCCAAGTTTCACAGCCGTATAGTAGAACGGAACGAACTGCCGCGCAGTATACTCGTCCCTTAGTTGATAGACGGATATCTCGCCTTCGCCATAGATGACGTAAGTTGGCAAAGGCCAAGCAAGCTTTTCGAATCCGTGCTGAGATTTCGTCAGACACCAACCCATTAGGGCTGATCAGACTTCCAAGATAAGTGAAGTTGTATTATTTATTTATTTATTTTAACACATAGGTATTGGTACAAGGAGGCACCAAATACATATGCGCCACACGAATCTCAATTGATTTGTGTGAGGGCTGTGATACTGCTCGGGTGCCCAAACCGAAGCAAGTGGTTTTCTTAGGGGGCCACACCCCGAGCCTTCGACCTGAACGTCTGATCCACAAGGCAGTGGAGCATCGTGAGGAGATGCAGTCCCATGGTAGCCGGTGACCAACGATTGGTTCATACGCCATTTGTTCCTTCAGGATACTGGAGCCCATGTGCACCATTTGTTTGGGATCCGGTTAAAGCTCCGGACACTCGCTTTTCGTTCTCTCATTTTCGTAAACAACACGCCGGCCACGTGAAGGCAGTGAGTAGGACTTTCTTGGCAGGGGCTATGTACGCGTGGCCATGTGAGAGCGTTTCGAGAGGGAGAGCGGACTCTACCCACTCTCGGCCGTACCAGGGCATTTGGGGGCAAGTGAAGTTGTCGACGCGTTCGACTACTTCACCCCCTATCCTTAGTTCAGGTGTTGACGCAGACCAGTCCTGAAGCAACAACTTGCATTTGGAGGGAGAGAAGCGCATCCCAAACATTCTGACATTGTTGCTCAGTGCTACCAAAAGACTCTGCATTTCATCAGCGTCTTCACCAAACAGGACTATGTCATCTGCGTATTCTAAGTCAATAAGTGGACCTGCTGGTAGGAGATCAATACCTGAGAATTCAGTCGATGAGAGCGTTATTCCCATCAGTAGATCTATGATGAAGTTGAACAAAAATGGAGAAAGTGGACAGCCTTGGCGGACGCCACTTGAGGTTGCAAAAACAGATGACAGTTCGCCATAAGCTCTGACTCGACTAGTAGTGTTCGAGTAAAGAGCTCTCACAAGGTTTATGTACTTCTGAGGTACGCCTTTCAATGACAGACACTGCCACAGAACCTCTCGGTCAACAGAGTCAACTGCTGCTTTTAAATCAAGGAAGACCACTATTGTCGGACGCCGATAAGCATGTCTGTGTTCTAGAACCTGACGAATGGTGAATATGTGGTCGATGCAGCCACGACCAGGTCTGAAGCCAGCCTGATTTTCACGTGTTTGCAGCTCACGAGTCTTAGTTAGGCGTCCGAAAATTATCGAAGCTAGTATTTTAGATATTATATTAGTTAAACTAATCCCTTTGTGGTTGTCACAGGATGATTTTGACCCTTTCTTAAATATTGGGACGATAAGTGATTGTGACCAGTTAGATGGAATAACGTCTAACTCCCAGATTTCAGCTAAAATATTAGTCAACCTAATCGCTAAAACTAGACCACCATCCTTAAAGACCTTTGGGGCCAATCCATCTTGACCAGCTGCCCTTCCTCGCTTCAGATTAACTATAGCCTTTTGAACTTCAGCTAGAGATGGGGGACCTACTTCAATGTTCCATTCACACTGTCTGGGAATAGAGGGTAGATGTAGAGTAGCTGAAGGCCAACTGAATTGCTCCTTAAAATGTTCCGCCCATCGTTCTAAACGTCGGAATGGGAGCAGATGAGAGTGTCGTCTTTTTCCGAAATAGTCTGACTTACACTTGATTTGTTAATTCCAGTTTCTTTTATTAGTCTGTAGAGTTGTCTTGTGTTCCCTATAGCCGCCGCCTTTTCCATCTCTTTTGCTTTCGTTGCCCACCACTGCTCACGATCATTCTTTAGACTTTTGCTTAACCTAGATCTGATTTCTTTACGCTCTTCATCGTGTTCAGAACCTGATGGGATTAGTTTACGAGAATCTATCAGTGCAATAGACTTTGAAGAAATCCATTGGTTCTTTGTAACCCTGTGGTTTAAATCACTAGTAGATGTCACTGCTGTTTCCACAGCTGCTTGTATGTCTTTCCAATCAACATCGGGGTCAGCCTCGTTTTCAGAACTACCTAAGCGTGACCTCAGTTGTTCCTGGAACCTACTTTTGGCTTTCTCATTACTCAATTCGGTTCTAGTGAGTCTTTTTTGTGTGGCTTTTTTGCGCCCAGTGAGGCGCAAGCAGATGCGTGCTCGTACTAGGGCATGGTCGGAGTCCAAGCAGGTACTCCAGAATGAGTGACAATCTTCTATTGACCCTCTCAAACGATGACTGATGGCAATATGGTCTATTTGAGTCCATCGTTGGTTTGGCGCAGGGGGTCGCCATGTTAGACGATGTCTCCCCTTATGCTTAAAATTTATGTTTGCTAAAAATAAACAATTGTCTGAGCAAAGTTGCAGCAGACGATCACCATTATCTGTTCGCTGTGCCGGAATACTAAAATACCCACCTAAATGTCTTTCTGTTTCGTTTAAGCTACCTACTTGGACATTAAAGTCACCTCCTACGAGTACTATGTCTGAACGTTTAGCTTTCTGAAGAAGTTCAGACAGCTTTCTGTAAAGTTCATCTTTCACTTCATCCGAACTGCAGTCAGTGGGAGCGTAGGCAGAAACGACGAAAAGGCAACGACGTGTGTTCCTATCGTTCCGAGTTCTTACGGAGCCGTTTAGCCGAACAGAACATAGACGACTATTAACGGGGATCCACTCTAATAGCGCTTGTTCTGCCCTCATGCTAAGTGCTATGCCTACACCTGCAAGTCCACGAGAACTAGCCATCGGGTCGCCAGATACACGGAGGGTGTATCTCGTCGGCACTCCGTTTTGCCGAGGTGAGGTCAAGTGAATGACCACACTAGGATCCTGTATGCGTGTTTCGGAGACACAGCATACATCAATGGTACGAGATTCTAAGGTTTTAGCCAAGGAAGCCTGCTGACCGATTTGGCATAGTGTGCGTACGTTGAAGGCTCCAATGTGTAGTTTGGAGCGAGGTTTCAGTAGACCTGGGACAGTGTTTTGCGCACTAGAATCGTTGGCTGTGGTGACACTTGAGGAGGAAGTCGAAAGAGGGAGTTTAGATTTGAAAGTCGATGTAAGAGGAATAATAGGAATTGAAGAGGTAGGTTGATTATGAACACAGTGGTCTTGAGTGCTGTTAGAGGTATGAAGGTGGTTATCACTTCCCGGTTGCCCACACCGTGAAAGGGTTCTTCTGGAGGTACCTGAAAAGGAAATTTGATTAGAGGTGGTCTTAGTGACCTGAGAGCGTGACCGCAGTGCCCAAGGGACAGCTGCTTGAGGTCGGTCACACACGACCTTTTTGTGAGTAATTTTTGTGTTAGCTCCGTACTTGTTGAGACCTTACCGCCGGAGACGGATTTCCGTGGGACAAGGCGGGGTGTGCATTTTTAGGGCCGACCTTTTCTAACCCCACCCCTCCTTGTGGGAAGGCAGCATCGCTGTTATGCTGGTTGTCTGAAGGAAACACCTTACTGCTGTCACACCTCTGTACAGTCAGCAGTAGGACTTCGCCTTCGGACTTTGGTTTTGTTGCTTTTAGTCTTACCGCTCTTCAACCGACCTGTCTAGCATGGTAGGACCTTGAGGAACGGTTGTTCCAGCCAGTATAGCTCAGTTGCTTCATCAAGATAGGTAAGCCCGACCACCACGTCAAGGTAGCAACAACGGTCAGGAGATCCTCACTATTTTTAATATCATTAGTTTCACGCTTTCTGTTGCATTTATTGATTTTTCTGTTAGTTCTGATGATACAGCTTGTGCACTTACTTGTGTAATCGGTTTTGAGTTACAGACTGTAAGAGCCAGTTTTACTCTCCAGTTTCTCAAACGAAACTAAATGAAGCAGAACTCGAACCTGCGACTTAATGGATAAAAGTCGAACACTTTAATCACTTAATCATCACTCTCTAGTTCATTATAGTTTCTGTTTTTTATTCCATCTAGAACTTTAGGTATTATGACTGTTAACCTAGTTAACTAGTGGGACCTTTGTTTTTTGTGCTGTAACATAACTTGTGCAAAATTGAAGACATGTTTTCAAAATGTCTGTTAATACTATATAGTTAAGCTACATCAATTGTATGAAGATGAAAGTACGGAGATAGTTGTATTCTAACTCAATGGACCTGTTTTCAGAGCATTTATATCCTGATTTCAAGGATTTTCATTGTTGAAAAATTAAAAACTATGATGAAATGTTTAGTAGTTTCTGGCTTTCAACGATTCTCAAGCAGATCTTACTGTATACTAAATGTTGTAGTTATGAATGTATAAGTTGTTGTTGTTTCACTTATTTTTCAGTTCACATTCATCAACCTTTGCTGAATACAGTTAATAAATCTCGAATAAACCAAGATTTGTGCCTCAGGTTTCATTACACAATCGGCTTAGTTTACAATTTATATTATACTTTATGAGATTTCATCCAATGATATTACCGACTTAAATTTGAATATTTCGAATGATATTAATAGCTCAGTAATTCAGTGTGATACAGATCAAAGTTCAGTATCTTTAGCTAGAAGAAATACAGGATAGACGGACATCATCCTCCATTGCGAAACATTTGATTGAAACGGGTCATAAGGTTGACATCAAATCAGCATTTGTAGTGTTATACAAAAGTCTTCAAGGACATATACTAAGGTTTATTGAAGCCTTGGCTATACGGAAACTGAAACCCCCTTTATGTGCTCAAAAACAATTTGTCCTTACACTTAACCTTCCCTGGTAATACTGTTTTATTATCCAGAGAAGAAATACTATTTAATGTGGTTTATATTTAACTGTGGTAGTTAACTTTCAGCATTAGTCATATCTCGTACACGTTTCCCTACTTCTTAAAATAATGAGTGGACGCGGTAAAGGTGGTAAAGTTCTCAGTAAGTTTAAGACAAGGTCAGCACGTGCAAATCTCCATTTCCTTGTTGGTCGTGTACATCCTCTTTTACGTAGGGGCAATTACGCTGAGCGAGTTGGTGCTGGTGCTCCAGTCTATCTAGCTGCAGTTCTCGAATACTTGGCTGTAAAAGTTTTGGAGTTAGCTGGTAATGCCACTCGTTATAACAAAAAGTCTCGCATTATATTTAGTTTGAAAAGGGCTTGTTGCTTTTTGCTCTCTCTATTTTTCTATGTTCTTTTCTAGCTTTTTGCAATCAAGTAGGCTCAGGATTTGAAACTTTACATTTAGATCGCTGAATTAACAAATTTACTTGTATTGACTTTCACCCTAACTCAAATTTTACTTTTGATGAAGTTTTGTTCTCTGAGCTGGATGGTTTGGTCGTGGAGCTTTCATCGTTCTTTTGAACATCATCAGCACAAACTCCAGATAGAAGTGAAGCGTTCGAATTTTTATCTGAAGTTTGTGCTGATGATGTCGTTCAAAAGAACGATGAAAGCTCCACGACCAAACCATCCAGCTCAGAGAACAAAACTCCATCAAAATCATCCACCTGAGCTACAAATCTTCTCCACCATCTCAAATTTTACATTTATGGACATAAATGGTCGGTGTGTTGTATTACTTTCAAAAGCTGCCGGTACACAAATCAGGTTTCACTGTAAATGACGCAATAACTTGCCAATGGTAATTTGATTTTGGGATCAGAAGTATTTAGGCTGTTAAATTATTATATGACATCATATCAGATCGTTAATGAAATCGGGAGCACAGGTTTCTAAAAACAGTTTCGTATTATGGTTTGTTGTATTTCAGGCAGTGCTTCCTTACTGCTCAGTGCACAACTTCTTAGTCTACTGCGTTTCGCTTTTAAATTTAACAGTACAGTATTAAAAGCAATAAATTATTGTTTAGATCTGTCGATATTATCACCGTATAACCGGTGTTTCTCTAAAGTTTCGAATTAGATACTAATTAGCTTCTTTGTATTTTCATTCTTAAAATGAATTATTTGATGAGATACTTGTCTCTTTTAGGTGCCGCAAATTGATACTAGGTTGTTTACAATACTGGTCTTTGTGCATATTACCACTGTTTATTTCATAACTAATTAATAAACCAGCTTTTATAAACAAATATAGCAGTGACAATTGCTTAAGACACTCAATTTTCAATAAATAGTTTATTGTTTCCATCTCTGCTTCATTTTTGATTGAATCAACTGGTCAGTATCGAAAACCCTCATAGAAAACACATTATCGAGAACCAATTGCAAGATCTCACGTATTTAGCAAATAAATTACATTAATTGAGATCGTAAACCTATCAATGTTAGACCATCATTGAAAACCTGGAAGCCTTGGACGTCCGTTTCGTCCTAGTATTGGGCCGTGTTAGGCGTAAGGTAGTTACCCAGCGAAGACAACGGAAAATAGTTGCACAATATTGTGGATTGGTTGGAGTTAGACATTAATACCGTTCGATGCAGGCTCGATGGTCTAGAGGTTAAGCGTTCGCGCGCCAAAACCGACAGTCCTGGGTTCGGATCTTTTATACAATATAATGTGTGCACACTACCAAGGACTCCTATACTAAGACAAAACGGTTGTCCAGTGCATCCAGGTTTTCATTGCTGGTCTAACATTAATCGGTTCATGATCTCGCTCAAAACTCAACAATCTCGATAAGCCTATACTGAAAATTACATTAAATTTATTTGCATTCTCAAAAGATAACAGTTTTCATGTGTCGCTCATTGACAACCATCGTTGTATTTTTCATTATAATTTGATTGGTATTTGAATTATTCATTAACAATCGATGTGTTGATTATTTCTGTCACTTCCATTTACTGCGATAACTTTTTAGATTTCTGTTTACACTAAAAAATAACAGTCATTTGTCACTTGGAGTGTATTCATTGATCTTTGAATTAATTAAATAAGTTCTCAGTAAGATTAATGCGTGTTATTTTCCAGTTCCCATACATATCACTAATTTTACTCTGAAAGCAAACTCATTGTTTTTCCTCTTGTTTTGGAATCTTTTTGTTTTTTAGTTTCATGATTAAAAAGTTACATGCATTTGTCTCTGGTTTATGTTGTGAGGAAAGCAATGACAATCCAATGTTTCAAGAAGTTTTATTACCTTCTACTTTATATCTCCAAGTATTACGTGTAAGTATAATGTATACAATATGTATGTTTCATAAAAATTAACAAAATATTTCTGTATCATAAGCAGCCAACAGTTGTACACAGTTGGAATGTAAAAAAGCTTTTTTCAATACTAATTTATATTCGGACGTATGTTTTCTAATGTTTTATCATCTATGTATTGATGCTAAGTGGTTAGCGAATTATAACCAATATTGTTCCAAGTTTCTAAGAACTGAATAAAATCTACCAACGAAATAATATTGCGTGGTGATTATAAGCATAGCTTGCTCTATATTTTGGTGAACTGTATTTTAATGTAAAATGCCAGTTCACGTAAATTAATGGCTATAGTGCTCGTGTATTTCAGGACAGCCTAGTGTACAGTTCTGATTTTAGACGCAGAATACTAGGTCAATCTGGGAAATAGTTTAATGAGTTAGTGAGTTTACCAACTGAAATGGTTGGGACATATATTACACATATCTAATCACTGTCTATCTCGATACGTGATGCTGGTTGGTGTAAGGGTAGGTTGGAGGAAAGCTAAGAGCGGGTATATATATAAACCTAATATTAAGCTCAGTATCTTTAACTAGTCTAGTATACATCCTTACGCTTGATTTTCATCTAATTAGATGTAGCTAAACGAACAAAACAATTTGACTGCAAATTACTTTAATTGTTTATTCAAAGTCATTTGTAAATTAAATCAGTTTGATAAGTTATGCAACCATATTTATTCACGTTATGTAGAGTAATTTATTTAAACTATTTTTTCTTTGAAGTGTTGTGCTTTTTCGTTGTTGCTAGCTATCAATATGTAAATATGTTCAGTTGAATTTTGTTAATTGAAATGAAATTATGAATTAATTTTAGCTTAGATTATTTACATTTTCAGAAACAACAACACTTGTCAATTACATTAATTACAATTCATAATTTTCATTTCGATTGATTACATTGTACTTATTTTCTTTTTACATTATTGTTTCATTATCTTAGTTACTTCATTACTTAATAGTTGTAACTCTCTATCTACTAAATGAAGTTTTACATGATTGGTTTGAATGCACACTTATTTTATGGGGTTAATGTTATACTAACCGGTTTTCAAAACTGAATTAATTGAAGGTGAGAGGATTTAAATCAGACTGATTTTACTATCAGTCTACCGTTTGTATCTAATTCACTTTAGTGGATTATTATTTGTTCTAAGATGACATGGTTTAAAATCGGTTGCAATGGCGCTGATAAACTAACTTTTTATCTGACTATAGTTTGTGAGTTCCACTTTTCTTACATGCCTTTGTTCTTTCTTTCTTTGAACTGTATTCTCAATGTTAAGTCTTTTGCATTAATATTGGTATTATATTATATCGATTTCTTTGCTATTCATGTCTGTTACAACTTGTCCTGCTAATACCATGAACATTTTTACCGAATCCTACTCTGAATATGATTAAGTTGGTTACAAATTTTAATGTAAAGGATGACATTAACAGCGAAAAATTAGGTCATACCGAGTTGACGATATATTATTTATATTTTATTGCTCTGTTTTAAAGACACTTGGTGTTTTATTACTGATCTCCCTAGTAATTGTGATCAGTAATATATTTATGATGTTGATTCCAGAAAGATCCACTTCATCATTTTGTTTTTTCCTTAATAAATCCTTCAGTAGTTTTCTGATAATTTTGCTAGGTATTACCCTTGGAAGATGATATCGTAGTCGGTTAAAAATTGGAGGATTTTTTTATTAATGTGTGAACAAATCTGCAAGCAATTGTTCGGATTCTCCCATTATTTATTTTAACACGTAGATATTGGTACAAGGAAGCACCAAATATATATGCGCCACACAGATCTCATTTAATATATGTGACGGCTGTGATACTGCCCGGGTGCCCAAACCGAAGCAGGTGGTTTTCTTAGGGGGCCACACCCCGAGCGTTCGACCTGAAGGTCTGATCCACAAGGCAGTGGAGCATCGTGAGGAGATGTAGTCCCATGGAAGCCGGTGACCAACGATTGGTTCATACGCCATTTGTTCCTTCAGGATACTGGAGCCCATGTGCACCATTTGTTTGGGATCCGGTTAAAGCGCCGGACATTCGCCTTTCGTTCTCTCATTTTCGTAAACAACACGCCGGCCACGAGAAGGCAGTGAGTAGGACTTTCTTGGCAGAGGCTATATACGCGTGGCCATGTGAGAACATTTCGAGAGGGAGAGCGGACTCTCCCCACTCTCGGTCGTACCAGTCAAACCTAACACTTTCATACTATATTTTGTTGTTTGTATTAACACTTGATTTTTTTTTCCGCTTCAGGCGAAAGTAATTCATTTACTTGCAAACGTCAAAGAACAGGTCCTATTAAAAAGTCGCAAACAGAACGTTCGTATATCCCTGTGTAAGTTATGCTTTATTGATATAATTACAAAGGTGCACCATTTTTGTTTTAATGGTTAAAACTGCTGAAAACCTACGTATTTTATTGTCTGTGGCACCATATTTATTAATCGTGTAGTATTTATCGTCGTTTACGTCATTATTATTGCTTTGTAGGGTATTTGAGAATAGTAATTTTATTAGTTTATACTTGAGTAAAGTTGGGCTTGTATACTGTCTACGCGTCCGCTTCAAGTGAAATATATTTTCAAATGTTGGTAGATGCAGACTACTTGATTGGGGTCCGCGTGACTATCGTAACCAATGGTTGTATCTTTCTTTCTATAGACTAATTCCTTCTTTCAGTACTATATCCTCATACACAATTTTTCTTTTATATATTACTATCATTGAGGTAACTATTTCTATGAATTTGGTTTTCATCTTGTTGCAGTAATTAAGTATTGTAACTTGGATTGATGCTTGTATGTGCCTGGTCCTACGTTGTAGCTGACTGACTAACTAAAGAAGATTGATAACCTTAGCTTGCTAATCCTTACTTTATAGCGATTAACTAAAAGCTCATTTATAAAACAATTGTTCGCTTACGTATCCTTTTTAGTTTATTTTCTGTATGATCATTAGTCCAACATTAATTCAGCCAAACAGAATATTTTTCATTACAGCCTTATTTCATCAGGCTCTCTTATCTCGCGCTTCTGAAGTCAGTACAGCAATGGTATATATGGTATCTACTGGGAATCTTCCTCCCTCATGTAAATCGACTCTTTCCGCTCAGCTTAGCGGGCAATCAACTGGTTTAAGTGTTCCGGCGGATAATGTTAATTTTCTACGTTTTGCTGCACAATTTCGAGCTGTTCACAGAGGGGCATTCTTCACAGAAATGCGAACTACTTCAGTTCGTCGTTTATTACCGGAAGCATGGGGTTTCTTCTGTCCTGTACACACTCCTGATGGTGCACCTTGTGGTCTTTTAAATCACTTAGCAGAACCTGTAGAGGTAAATTGAGTCTTTTACAAATTTGTAATCGCAATTGCTCCCAAGGTACTTCTTGTGTGTTTTAAGTTGTATAAGGTTAGGTTTAGTGGTTCGATCTAATTATGCTGTCGTAGATTAACGCCAACTGAAATACTTCTACGTAATCGTCTCCTTCATTTTTATACGCTAGCTTTGAAAGGTGTAGGATTAAAAATGTCAGATTATCACCGATTTCTACCATTCTCTACCTATACTTGGATCCTTTATTTGTCTCCTCATATTTCTCTCTAACCGTCTGCTACTCTTTTCTGCTTAGGTCATTTTTATGCTTGTTTGCGACTCTGTTCTCCTGAGATTTGTGTATCAATTTCTACTGTTCAACGTCATATAACTTCACAGGCTCATCCACAAAACAATGTGCCTCTTGTAGTTACAATAGTTACTGAAGATATTATAATTGTGAGAGAGGGACGTGATTTGAGGAGAGAGAGAATTATTGATCGGACCAAAGACGCGTAAAACACGTAAGAACAGCTTAGAGTTCTGATTGGCCCTGCTTCCCTGTCTAGCCCAGCCAGTTGAGTCCAGAACGCAAGTCTCAGCCTCTGTGATATGAATCATTACATTTCAAACATACTCTGTTTATATGCCAAACAAACAGACTACATCGTATCATAAAATAGAAAACAACATTTGTACAAGATTTGACCTCCAGGAAATGACACAAATAAATATTGACCAATGGGTAAATGATACGTTGGATGAATATTGACCAATGGGGAAATGACACAATTTCTCATTCAGGAATAGCATTAGATAATTTCTGGGGTATTTTCTGAATACCCCAACAGATATTAGCTTGTATATATTTAGAGAAACCGTGGTTTTTCACTTCAGATAAAGGTTTTTATTCCTTGTAACTTATGAAAAAGCATTTCTTGTTTAGTGTGGTAGAATTCCACTTTCATAAATATCATGGTAATTGTTAGTTAGATTTCTTCAATTTCCATAAGATGAATATTATTAATAGCACACTACTCCCATCGTTACATGAACGGAAACGTAAAAATAATATAGAGGTCCGATGTTATGTTCGACTTTTACGTCAGTCAGTAACAACGTGGAATTTCGTACGTACGTACATCAGCACAGAGATTCAGTTATCGATTCAAATCCCGTAGTGGTAGAGGTAATGAAAGTATAAATAGTAATCGGGAACATTATGGTTTGATGATGTTATTCAAGGAGTATAATCCAGTGGAATGAATTTGGGAAGAAAATGGAGGACATGACGAATTCAGAAGATCAGAATTTGGGAGAACACAAAGAGTGGATGCACCTGCGCCATTGCAAACGATTTTGAGCCATGTCATTCAAGGTCCCTAACTATAGGTTACTATCATCTCGCGGTCCCCAACCAAGTAGTCTACACCTACCAACATGGCTCAGTCCACTTGTCAGTGACTTCATGGATTTGTGCCATCTTTTGGTCTGGCCGCCTCTAACTTTCTTCCAACCCAATCCTACACCATAAAACATCGCACGTCGGGGCAGTCGGTAGTCGAGCATACGTAACACATGTCCCAGCCATCTCAGCTGATGAAGTTTCACTACTTCAATTGATTTGCCATCCTTACCTAGTACCCGTTTCCTAACAACTGAGTTACTTACTCGGTGGTCCCAGGATATATGAGCAGTGTTTCGAAGACACCCATGATTGAATACTAGTAACCTATGAGTATCCTCTACTCTCACCGACCGTGTTTCACTGAAATAAAGTAGGACGGGACGAAAAGCTGCGCAGCAAACCACCTTCTTTTGGTTGATAGACGGATATCTCGCCTATGCCATAGATGACGCAAGTTGGCAAAAGCTAGTCGAACCTTCTGTATCCGTGCTGAGATTTTGTAACACACCAGACCACAAAGACTGATGAGACTTCCAAGATAAGTGAAGCGGTCAACATACTTAACTACTTCACTCCCTATCACTAGTTCAGGTGTCGATGCAACCCAATCCTGAAGCAACATTTTGTATTTCGAGGGAGAGAATCGCATGCCGAACATGCCTGCATTGTTGCTTAAAGTGGTCAGCAGACTCTGCATTTTGTCAGCGTCTTCACCAAATATAACTATGTCATCGGCATACTCCAAGTCAACAAGTGAATCTTTCGGTAGAAGTTCAACCTCTGGAAATTCAGATGTGGAAAGTGTTATTTCTAAAAGCACGTCAACGACAAAGTTAAACAAGAATGGAGAGAGTGGACAACCCTGACGAACACCACTTGACGTAATAAATTCTGATGACATTTCGTCATAAGCTCTCACTCGACCAATTGTGTTCGACTAGAGAACCTTTATAAGGTTAATGTACTTCTTTGGTACTCCTTTCAGTGACAGACACTGCCACAGAACCTCACAATCAACAGGGTCAAATGCCGCCTTAACGTCGAAAAATACTACCATTGTGGGGCGTCTGAATGTGTGTCTATGTTCTAGGACCTGACGTAGTGTGAATATCTGGTCTATATTGCCACGTCTAGGTCGAAAACCAGCCTGATTTTCTCTAGTCTGTTGTTCACGAGCTTTGGTTAAGCGTCGAAGAAATATTGAAGCTAATATTTTAGACGGTATATTCGTCAAACTTATTCCTCTCTGATTGTCACAAGAAGACTTTTGTCCTTTCTTATAGACTGGCACAATCAGTGATTGAGACCGGTCAGATGGGATTACGTTCAGTTCCCAGATTCTACCTAAGACCTCAGTCAATCTCGCTGCTATTATGGACCGCCATCCTTAAAAATCTCAGTGGTGAACCTGTCAAGGCCTGCTGCTCTCCCACACTTCAGATTTCCTATAGCTTTTTCAACTTCGTAAAGAGTCGGAGGACTTACATCAACTTGCCATTCAGGTCGACTGGAGATCGTGGGAAACCGAAGTGTGGTTGAAGGCCAGTTGAACTGATCCCTAAAGTTTTCTGCCCATCGATCCAATCTCCTGGATCGAGAATGAATAATATGTCCATCTTTCTCTGAGATTGTTTCGCTAAAAGTTGGGTTCCTAATACCGGTTTCCTTAACAAGTCTGAAAAGTTGTCTGTTGTTACCTATTGCCACTGCCTTTTCCATATCTCTGGCTTTCGCTACCCACCACTGTCGACTTTTACGAATGACATCAAAGATGAAATTTTATTTACACTATTCATATGGAAGATGATTTGGTCAAAATATGGCGTGATTGGCTAGTGAGTGCAGGCAAACAGATGTCACAAAATCGTTGGTCTAACTTTAAGTACCCTTGCTCACATTATTGAAGATCTAGTTTCAAAAATAGAATCGACAAAACTTGTAACACCCCATGATAAATTATAGCCGTAGAATTTCTGTTTGATTTAATCTAATTCAGTTAATTGCAGTTAAGCTGTAGATACTTGATGTAGCTTACAGCTTTCTGCGCAAATTTTTTTACATAAGTATTTGTTTAGATATATTGGAGTATTGATGTATGTTGATCGCTAGGGCGCACTAGACGTCAACGATGCCTTTTCCCGACGTTTGACTTTTATCTGTTTGTTTTGCTCTTCTATCAATAGGCTGTATGTGAAACTCCAAAACAGTCAGTGCTTGAAAATATCGGAAATTGGCTATCTACACACAAATTAAGACCGATTGAATTATCCAGACAGTTGTTTGGTGTTGCCGAACAACAAAATGCCTTACCAGTTTTGTTAGATGGTCGTCTTATCGGTTGGTTGTCAACGTCAGATGAAGCGAAACGTTTAGCATTAGAACTACGCAATGCAAAAGTTGATCCTAACTGCAAAAATATCCCTCATACAATGGAAATAGCGTTAGTTCCTTCAACTGATGTCGGTTCACAATATCCTGGTCTATATCTTTTTGCTGGTGGATCACGTCTCTTAAGACCAGTTAAAAATTTACAATGTCCAAAAGATTCAACTGGTAAAGATGTTATTGAATGGATTGGAACATTTGAACAAGTTTATTTAAATATATCTGTGAAAGAGGAGGAATTAAGTGAACGTTCACCTATTGATAGATCACATATTGAAATAGCTCCTGAAAATATTTTCAGTTTTGTTGCTGGTTTAATCCCATATCCGGATTTTAATCAGGTATTTATATGTGTTTATAGATGCTTAGTTTTTCTTGAAATTAGAGCTGATATTGTTTTTATCAGCACTTGATAAATTTTATTATGTAGCTCCGAGATCACATTACCCAAGCATGCACTTGAGCTATATATTTTTTCTTTGTCAGTTAAAAATCAAATCAGTAATTGTTGTATTTGAATTTTGAGAACATTGTACACTTTAGAGTGTTCGATGTATACATTGTCTCATTCGATAATGTATTTCAAATCGGTTACAAATCGTCGAAGTATGTACTGTTGTACGAATTAGTGGCTTGATAATCAAGAAGTTCGACTCACATTCAGTATTTCTCAGGTTTGAACTCTATCCTATCTATCAAGGTTTCAATATAACATTAGTATCACTAGGATTCATATAAGAATTGTAGCTCAAAACCAATTGGGTTAATCTGTACTTGAAGGATGAGTTACATAATGTGTGTGAAGGTACCTCCAAAACTTATATGAACGTGTTTGGAAAATGTTGAAGCAATATATTTTATGACATTAACTATCAAAAAGCTTATTCACTGAACATAACACTGTGACTGTAATTGCAATGTGTCCCGGGTAAAATATGCAATTTAGCATTATGATTCAATTTTCACAAGTGTCTTTACTATTCCTAACATTTTATAACGGTAATGGGATGAAATGAATAGTAAATTACATTCAGAACTTTTTGTATTCCAATATTGTTTTTAGTTACAATTAACTTTTAAAACCTAATTATCCAGTCGATTTTCACAATCAGTTATTAATAGTACACCGGTAGTGTATAAAAAGCTCATAAATCGTTTCATTTAGTTAATATTATCTTGTATATATTACTCCTCTGCGATTATGAAGTAAATTACTGAAGATTCAACATATTTGTCAGATTGTTAGTGTTCGATCATAAGGATCTCTAAAGCATTACTTCATGCATGATAGAACTACAAAACTGCCTTCACTTAGAAACAATTACTGTTTTCAATGGTCAAGATTTTGAGTCAGTTGAAGCTAGACCATCATCGAAAATCTGGAAGCGCTGGACTGCCGTTTCGTCCTATAATATCCACAAAACCTATCTGAAATTATTGTTTTGTTGGGTTCATTGTTTCTATACACTGGTTAGTATATTTGTTATGTTAACCGAGTTATATCTTACAGTCCAATTCAGTCACTGTGCACCATATTAAATGCGTATTTGATCGTATTATACAGTAAGTGAGAAAACACCATAGTATTTATGAAACTGTATTGTCTAGGGATTATTTATTTATTATTTATTTAAACACATAAATATTGGTACAGAGGGGCACCAAATATATATGCGCCACACAAAACAATGATAATTTGAAGAGAAGGAGAAAAGAGAAAAAAAAAAGTAATGAACGTGGGGAATTATAAAAAAAAAAGGGAGAGAGAGAGAACAATGGTGGGGGAAACGGAAAGGTACAATCAGAAGAGATCTTTCAGTTAAGGAAGATATAAACACTTTTTATGAAGAAAGTAAGAGGTTACAGCACGATCGCCACTGGCTTCTATTCTTAGCCATATCTGATAACGTCTCTAGCCACTGCGTTACACCGTCTCTCGGACCCCAACCAGGGAGTCGTGAAGGACCAACAGAAGCTAGCCCTTTGCAGCTTTCTTTCATACCACGACACCATGTCATATACTGACCACCTCTCCGCTTTTTCCAACCGGTCCCAGAGTCGGCAAATAATGCACGACGTGGAATTCTCTGGGACGACATTCGTAAAACATGTCCAAGCCACCGAAGTCGGTGTTTCAAGATGGTGACACCAATTTCATTATCGTCTCTGTGACGGAACACTCGATGCCGAACCTCTGCATTACTGACATGGTGTTACCACTGGATGCCAGCAATCCTTCGGAGACAACGATGATCAAACACAGAGAGTCGTCTAACATCCTCAACTCGGAGAGGCCAGGTTTCACAAGCATAGAGCAAAACTGCTCTCACCGTCGCGTTGTAGATCCGACCTTTCACAGCCAGACTAACATCACGAAGGCGCCAAAGGTGGCCCAGATTGGCATAAGCCGCTCTGGCTTTCACTATACGTGCATTGATCTCATCACTCATACCACCACCAGCACTTATGCAGCTACCTAGATACACGAACTTCTCGACTACTTCAATCTGCTCACCATCCAGAGTGAGTACAGGATTAGAATCCTGCCAGTCTTGTAGGAGTACTTTGCACTTCGAAGGTGCAAAGCATATACCATACCTACGGACACTGATTGCCAACTGATTAAGTGCGGATTGCATGGCTTGGGCATTCTCGCACAGTAAGACAATATCATCCGCATACTCAAGGTCGAGAAGTCTTTCTCCAGGCAACAGATCCACACCACCATTACTTACATCCGTCAGAGCTGTTTCCAGAATGTCATCGATGGCAAAGTTGAAGAGGAATGGTGAGATTGGGCAACCCTGCCTAACCCCACTGCTCGAATGGAACAATTGAGAAAGGTGGTTGTATGCCCTCACTCTGCCTGAGGTGTTTGTGTATAGGGCTTTTAGGATGTTAATAAACTTCTCAGGCACACCCTTCTTCAATAGACAATCCCAGAGAACAGTTCTGTCCAACGAATCGAAGGCAGCCCTGATGTCAAGAAACACTACGATTGTTGGCCTGTGATAAGTATGGCGGTGTTCTAGCACTTGGCGGAGGGTGAAGATATGATCAATACATCCTCGACCAGAACGAAACCCAGCCTGCTCCTCGCGAGTCAATCCTTCTCGGGTCCTGAACAACCTACGAAGTATGACGGAAGTCAATAGCTTGGACGCAATCGGAAGTAGACTTATCCCCCGATAGTTATTACAGGAACAACGTGAACCCTTTTTAAAGATAGGGACAACTATCGACTCATTCCATGACGTTGGTACACTCTCTAGTTCTCAGATCTTTGTAAACAACGTCGTCAGTCCCTTAGTCAAAAAGTCACCACCATCTTTAAAAAGAGCCGGAGGTAAGTCGTCTGGGCCCGGTGATTTGTAACGTTTCAAGAGTTGGAGTTCCTTGCGGACTTCCGCCTCATTTGGTGGATCAGTCGTCACCGGCCATGGAGGGCAGGACAGTCTGACCGATGTTGCCGGAGCAGCAGGCCAGTTGAACTGCCCTTCAAAGAATTCTGCCCATCGTCCAAGACGTCGATGGATGTTAGTGATTGGCGTTCCGTCATCCTCGCAGATTGTTTCGCTCACACCAAACTTCTTGCTGCCAGTGGCTCGGATGAATTGATAGGACTTCCGGTAATTACCAGATGCAGCTGCTGCTTCCAGCTCATTAGCACGCTCCGACCACTAGGCTTCTCGGTCCTTACGCAAGCTTTGCCCGATTTCATTACGTAACATCCTTCGTCTGTGGTCAAACTCACCGTCACCCGGAGTAGACCGACGGGCTTCAATCAGTTGTAAGGAACCAGAAGAAACCCAGTGCTTGTAAGCGGGACGTTTCGCAAACCCACAACAGACTGTACCCGCCATTTTCATGGCGTCATGCAATTGCAACCAATGCTCATCTATACTTTTCGGTGGAATGGTAGCTAGCCTAGAAGCTAGCTCGGTTCGGTACTTACTAGCAACAGAAGTTGCAGCCAGCTTGCTAACATCAATCCTTTGGTGGCGGTCACTTCGTTGTCCACTGAAAAGTGAGGTAAGATTGGCGCAGACCAGAGCATGATCAGATTCCAGATAGGTACTCCAAAAGGAGCGGCAGTCTTGTACACAACCGCGCCAGCGGTAGCTGATCGCGATGTGATCAATCTGAGTCCAGGCTTGAGATGCAGAAGGAGGATGCCAGGTGGCACATCGGCGATGACTGTGCCGAAAGTTAGTGCTAGCCAGAAACAGGTTGTGGTCTGTGCATAGTTGCAGTAGACGTTCCCCGTTATCTGTCCTGCGACCAACGAGTCCCCATCGGCCACCTAAACGACTCTCTTCTGTGCCTAGACGCCCGACCTGAGCATTCAAGTCTCCAGCTAGTACTACAATATCTGTCGAACGCACTTTCTGGAGAAGAACAGTTAGCTGATGGTAGAACTCGTCCTTGATTGCATCCGGGCTGCAATCTGTCCGGGCATAGGCGGAGATGACGAAAAGACATCGTTTCTCACGCCGATTTCTTCTCACTTTGATGGAACTTTCTAATCTAACAGCACATAACCGACTGTTAATGGGGATCCAGTCGACTAGTGCTGCCTCAGCTCTTGCGCTTAGTGCGACACCAACGCCAGCAAGACCAGACGAAGATGCCACAGGGTACCCGGATAAACGCACATAAAACAAGCTTTTTGAAGTGACAGATGGAGAGCGAACTTGTAGTACTTCACCAGAGTCTTGAATACGGGTCTCGGATAGACAACACACATCAATATTAAGACTTTCCAAAGACATAGCCAGCCCTATCTGTTGTCCGACCTGCATAAGTGTGCGAACGTTGAGGGTAGCCAGTTTGAATGGTGCACGCGGTTTCAGAAAAACTGCTTCGGTAGTAACATACAATTTTCAACCAGGCAGTGACTCGGGAACGTTTAGATAAAGCTGAATTTTCACCATAGGTGAGCTGCTGTCTAGGTCGAAACGCATATATAAAGTAGGAATAAGAGAGGGTGAATAAATGACGTGGTAGAGTAATAATAATAATAATAATAATAATAATAATAATAATAATAATAATAATAATAATAATAGTACGAGTTATTTCGGTGTTAATCAGATAGAAAGGAATATTTTCCATAAGCAAATTGTTCATCATAGTTTTAGTGAGTGGGCTGGGATACTGCCCGGGTGCCCAGACCGAAGCAGGTGGTTTTCTTAGGGGGCCACACCCCGAGCCTTTGACCTAAAGGTCTAGTCCACAAGGCAGTGGAGCATCGTGAGGAGATGCAGTCCCATGGAAGCCGGTGACCAAAAGTTGGTTCATACGCCATTTGTTCCCGCAGGATACTGGAGCCCATGTGCACCATAGAAGCCCATGTGTCTAGGGATATTGTTGTGAAATATATTACTAGTTAATAACATCTTATTTACAAATGATCTTCGTTAATGTTAACATCTTTCCTTCACAGTCTCCACGTAATATGTATCAATGCCAAATGGCTAAACAGACTATGGGTCATTCTTGTTATACATGGCGTAATCGATCAGACGCGAAAGCTTATCGTTTATTTACACCTCAAAGTCCTCTTGTTCGAACTAAAATGTATGTTAAATATGATGTTGATCATTATCCTCTAGGATTTAATGCAATTGTTGCAGTGATGTCATACACGGTAAGCACCATATATATATTCTTCTAAATGTTTTTCTTTACAGTAATAATTAACACATCAATACCTGACAAATCGTTTTCTGACATTGGAGTGGGTAAATCAAGACAAAATCAATCCATAAAGTCAGTGACTGTTGATTAGAACCACATCATTAGGTCTGGTTTACGAAGTTTGGGCTCGCGTTGAATGTAACACTGATTTGACCCCAATGGCACAGTTACATTCGTCTTCTAACCTCTTCTAAGCTTTGATTTTATTGTCATTCATAACTTTTTATTGTTCAGTCTTATCCGTTTGAACTGTTTTTCTTGTGTTTATATTTCCATTGTTTTCACTGTTATTTCCCATCGATCGTTTCTCATCTTTCTGATTTTCACGTTGCACTGTTGTAAGGTGTAATAACGTAGCTCAGTGCATGATTATTGGCAAGTTCTGCACTACTGACTTACTAAATGACCTTAAGTGATTGATGTCTTTATTTTTCACTTCAATGTTTAATGTGTTACGTTTCAGTCTCTAAGTGCTAGTCAGTTTTCTGAAAGTTTAAAATGTCTTTTGTTGTGTACATGGGATAGAACTTATAATTCCTTTTAATCACTTCGACATTGAATTTCCTTCCCTCATAGTGTCAGGTCACTTAGTTAAGCGTTCAATTTTCTGTCTATTATGAACATGATTGTATAAGTACCAAAAGCATGCCAGTTGCCTAAATTTATTTGAAGTTGTTTCGTGAAGATGTGTCCAATTCGAAAGTATTATTCATCACAGATTGATCGCATTTAGAGTACCGTTAGAAACCAAGGAGCACTTGATAGCTGTTTCTTCCTGGTATGGGATTCCTCAGTAGTGCGCACCGACAACCCCACCATGGATCGGACCCAGGACCTTCAAGTCTCGCCCCATTATATCTCTGTTTGATTAAAGCTGAAATTGTGCCTTTGTTACTCTCTCCCGGTTTTTCTAATGGCTGAATGCTCGCCACACAACGTAAATGTCTTGGTTTCAATTAGTATTACGGGGTTGTGTGTATGCACTCCTGAGGAGTCCCACACTGGAACGAAACAGCTATCAAATGCTCTCCGGCTTTCAATCTATAATGAATATTTCTTACAAGTCACCTTAAGTAGCAATTACACAAAACTGCAAAACACCACTACAAAACGTTTTCGTGTTGTTTAAAAGTATACCTACTTTCATCGTATCCATTCATCTCTTAAAATTATTGAGAAATCAAAACAATTTTTAGATTTGTCTTTAATTTTCAACTTTATGTAAGCTTTTTTCTAACCACTTTATTTTATCTAAAATTTATGGTCTATCATTCTTTTTTTCAATAACCAAAGTCACTACGAATGGATTGCCGCCCCCCAATGCTGTGGTACGGTAGGTGGGGGAAGTCCCCTCTCCCTCTCGAAATGCTGTCACACACAGCCACACATATAAAACCCCTGTCAGGGAAGTCCTACTCATGCCTTCTGGCAGTGTGGGGTGTTGCTTACGAAATTGAGGGCACGAAAAATGAGTGTTCGACGCTTTAACCAGGTCGGTGAATATGGAGGATCCACCTACGTAAGTTGGCAAACCCTGGTTCCAAACCAATTATGCACATGTGCTCCAGTATCCTGGAGGGGGACAAAAGGCTTATAAATCTTTTGTTGGTCTTCGGCAACCATGGAACTGCATCACCTAGCGTTGCTCCACTGTTTTATGGATTAAACTTTTAGGTCGAAGGCTCGGGGAGTGGTCTCTTAAGAAAACCACCTGCTTCAACTTGGCACCCGGACAGTATACCGGCCCTCACACAAATCAAATAATTTGTATGGCTCACATATATTTGGCGCCTCCTTACACCAATTTTTATGTGTTTAATTAAATTTTAAATATAAATATGAATGGATAAGCTTAACAACTTTGTATATCGTATATTTACCATCATACATTTAAAGGAATACATTTTTATTATTTATACTTTAAATGTTTGTTAATAATATTTACTTTTGATTATAGGGTTATGATATGGAAGATGCTATGGTGATTAATAAAGCATCATATGATCGTGGGCTGGCTGGAGCTTGTATCTATAAATCAGAAGTTATTGATCTATCTTCACTTTCCAAGTCAACATCTTCAAATAATCCATTTCAGAAGAAAAGACTCATCACATCTGAATACTATTTCGGTATGTAGAAATATATGTATATGCAAAAGAAGTCTTTTAAAAAACATTTCAGTTATACTTCACTTCTCTGATTATACTGTAATTTAAGTTAATTTAATAGGTGCTTCGGGTTAAGTATCAAATAATTTGTCTTTATACCTATTCAACGTTCTCTCAAATTCTAATCTCCTGAATTCTCCTTGTCTCTCTTTTCTCTTTCCAAATTTATTTCACTGGATTATACTCCTTGAATAACATCCTCAAACGATAATCTTTCCGATTACTGCTTATACTCTTATTGCATTGACCACTACGGGAGTTGAATCGACATCTCTGCGCTAATGTGGTATGGCAACTCGAACTGATGTACGAAGTTCTACGTTGTTACTGACTATTTGCTATTAAATTATCCTACCAGTGAAATTTCAATGCAACATATTGTTTCTGAGTGTCTATTATTTTTTTTCTTTTTTTGATTGACTTTTTATTATCACTGAAAAAGATTTAACGTTATAATAGATATCTGTTGCATTATTTCAGTCACGAAACAATTTTTCCTCTAACCATCTAAAGTATATTTTGTTTTTATAATTCTTTATTGTTAATCCCGTCATAGTATCTCAGCTTTATTTGTTCTTTATTTTGTTTTGGAAATATTTACAGGTTTTGCAGGTGAAAAACCTGATAGAGGTTTAGATTTAGACGGTTTTCCACCCGTTGGTGCCCGTTTAGAACCAGGAGTCAGTTGGTTATATGCCTATACACATGGTGAAACACTGCAAACTAATTTTGTCAAATACGAAGGTGGTGAACAAATAGCTTATGTTGATTCAATATCACTCAATGGATCGTGGAGTTGTGTGAGTTGTCTTGTACTAGATAATCAGTTTTTCCATTTCAACACACTATTCGAATATAATTCTTTGTGTTTAGTTTTAAGTCATATGTGTATACGTGTTAAAGATAATGGTCCTGCATAGTGAGCTAGATGGTACCATATGTAATGGGTTCGAATCTACTACTCATTAGTTGCCTGTCTGTATCTCATATTAGTGTCAAGTGAAACGGTCACTCGTATTTGACTTTTATCATCTATGTTGTATTCACGTGATTTGTCGTCAGCATTTATACGAAGTAAGAAATGCGTTTGATTAGTGTCATTATAGATTCAAACATAGGCAGTAGATAAAAATTAGCTTAGAAAGTGGAATCGTTCAATTAATGAAACATTACTGATTCTTATTAATAGTCAATTACTTCTAAGGGTTTTTTCTCGGCATATGTTTGTAAAATTCAGTTTAATCCATTCATTTTTGGTAGGCTACCATCACACTTCGTTTGCCTAGACAACCAGATATTGGAGACAAGTATAGCAGTCGTCATGGTCAAAAAGGTATTAATAGTCTGTTAATTCAGTGTGAAGAAATGCCTTGGTCTACTACAAATGGTCTTATTCCTGATCTAATATTTAATCCTCATGGTTTTCCTACTCGAATGACAATGGGTATGATGATTGAGTTTTTAGCTGGGAAATCTGCTGCATTAACAGGTGAGAATAATTATTTCATCATTATTTTTGTCTGTTTATTTTCTGACTTTAAATGATTTACTACATACTGATAATATTTATATTTTCTTTGTTATAACTTTCTGACAATGTAATGCTGCAGCATGGATTTTCCAATTTGAAAGAAAGCAACCTGATGGTTGAAATACTTCAGTTTTTAACTTATTGGAGTTGAATTTTGAACTCTATTTAGGTTTAGAGAGTATAATAGTGTTGTAACGCATGTTGGCTTTGTTTGCAGATATAAGTAGTATGTAACACCTGTCGGTAGTGGAATGTCTGCGAGCAGAAGCTGGAGAAGATTGAAGTGAGGAGTAGGAAACTGTAAGCAATCAAGATAACAAAAGGAATAAAGGAACAATGAAGCTTGCAAATGATGTATTTGATGTATTATTTTCATATCTCACTAAACCACTATGTGATTGTGCATGGAACAATAAATTGGTTATTCCCACCCAGTCTTCTGTCCCTACAATGTCACTAGCTGCCACATACGTAGATATATTTGTTACTAAAATCCAGATGTGTCACCTTATGTTTTGTCAAGAAAACAGTTTAAGCAAGTACATAGTTTATCAAATTTTTAACAATGATATCAATTCTTTATCAAAACCATATACAGATTGTAAAATGATTTCACAAGCCACCTATGCAAATTAGATTTATTAGTTTAACCTGCTTAAGTGAACTTTGTAGGCTCTCTTTATCTGGTTGATTATTTGAAACTATACCAAATCTATTCACATATTAGTGTTGTTTTATCTTTTAAGATAGAAAGACCAACAAGATATTGGGAGTTCTTTTATTTTTGATTATGTCACACATAAGTATCGTATTAATGCAGGTAAATATAGTGACATTTTCAGTTATAAATCATATGCACAACTTCTCTTTTAAGAATTTGGATAGTTAAGGATGTTTATAAACTATTATTAGTCGCCTCATGAATGTGTAACTAATTAGGTCCCCAATTTTTAAAGTTTTTTACTTGTCGTACACTGGATTTCAACAACAATAATCTATGTACTTGATTCTAGGTATTTATGATTATTCTCTCTATCTTTAGGTGTTTTGGAAATAAAGACCTGTTTATTTGGTTTAAATTACCCACTAGCTAACAAAGCAAATAATAAATCATTCCTTGGTCTACTAAAATAATGTTAAATGACTTATTGCTTGTTGAAAATTCGTTCTAGTAATAGTCCGTAAAGTAATGTCACAGTTTCTTTACTAAATGGGTCTGATTATACCATTCACTACCAATTAACTACATGAAGTTTCGAAATAAGACAGAAGTATGTACTACGTTATTTATTTGAACACAGGCATTAGTACAAACAGGTACCAAAATGTATATGCACCACACAAATCACTCAATTTGTATATGGGTTAAAATACCACCTGGGTGCCCAAACTGAAGCAAGTGGTTTTCTTAGGCGGTCACTCTTTGAGTCCTTTACCTCAAAGTCTAATTCACAAGGCAGTGGAGCGGCGTTAGGAGTTGTGGTCTCATGGTAGCCTGTTATAACTTGTGACCGCCGATAAGAGAGTAGTGAATTATCGACCGGACCAATGACGCGTAAAATCCGTACGAGCAGCCTGGAGTCCTGATTGGCCTTGCTTTCCGCCTAGCCCAGACAGTCAGGTCCAGAACACCAATCCGAGCCTCTGCGATATTAATCATTTATTTCAAACCTACGGGGTTTACATACCAATCAAATAGACCACAACGTGCCATAAAATAGAAAGTAACATTTGTGCAAGATTTGGCCAAAAGTGGCTGTGAATGAGGCAGGTAGTGATTAATAGACAGGAAATAATTCAAGAATGGTAAATCGTATGATAACAAGTCATAGGTCAAAATAAAACTCATAATAGGAGGGACCTGAATATGAACAGTTTAGCTACATAACAATTATACGATAAAAATATACTCATAGTACTGGTCCATAGATAGATCCCAAAAAATTACCACCCATTATTCTTATCGGGACACAACATAGCCAGTGACCGGGAAGTTTCAAACGCCATTTGTTCCCTCAGGATTCTGAACTCCATGTACTCGTATGTTTCGGAATCAGGGTTTTCCAACGCCCTGAGTGGATCCTCCGTACCCACCAAAACGGTTTATCCCCGGATATTCTTTTTGTCGTTTAAATTTTGTAAACAACGTCGTCACAAGGAGGCAGTGGGTTTATATACGTGTCCATGTGAAAGCTTTTTTTGAAGGAGAGCTATCTTTCCCTACTCTCGGTTGTACCAGGGTATTTGGGAACAAATTGAACCGCCTGTTTGGAGTGGGGTTTGAGCCCACTTGGGATTTGTCCTAGTGTACTACATACCATCTGAAATTTGTTTCACACCAGTTGACTTTGATTGTCCGTATTTATTTTATTAGGTAATCGAGTTGATGCAACTCCATTTCAATGGTCAGAAGATTCACCACCTTATGAAGACTATTGTCAGATATTAACGGATTGTGGTTTCAATCATTGGGGCACAGAGACAATGATGTCTGGATCAACTGGACGTCAACTGGAAGCTCAAATATACGTCGGAGTTGTTTATTATCAACGTTTGAGACATATGGTAGCAGATAAATATCAAGTATGAAGAATACATGTGATAAATATTATAATACCGGGTACTTTGTGTCAACTTTTAAGATCGATATTGTCTTTTTAGGTAATTGATTTAGGCGAGTAAATTCGATCATTAATCTTTTTCGATATTAGAATAATTAATTGGATTGTATACCATAGAAAAAATGTTCTTGTTCCGTTTAAATAGATTATTACGTTTAATTAAACCAGCTAAAGTTTAGGACATGGGATCTCAGTGTTTGAAGGAAATATAATAACTTAAGTTCGGTAGTGAAATATGATTTCATGTATTAGATTTTAGGTTAAACTTCAATCCCAAAGTGTAATTTGAACCTGTAACCCTTAGAAGTTAAATGTCAAAATAACCACTGCTTTATTATTGAATCTAGTCTCTTCTTTTAACTTACAGTTCGCACTTAAATTTTATGAAACAGATATTTCGTAAAATACAATTAATAGTTACTAGATTTCTATGTGAGAATTGAAAACCATGTTTTATTGTAAGATTTAAAGCTGTGTATTAATAGTGGATGAATATCAAGTGTGCGTTTTTCTAGTATACTCTATGTGTTTAGACCTGTTGACTCTAGGAGTTCCTTCCAGTATCATAAGATAAATATATGACCACATAGCTTGGTTGAAGTTCAAATCTGCTTCGATTTACTCTTTTATGCTGATTGCTCATGTGATTCCGATTTTTTAAAAACTTAGTATGCTGTTTTACATGACTGAATAATGATTAATTTTGTGAATATATTTGTACTAGGTTCGTGCTGAAGGTCGGTTCGATCCAATACTTCGACAACCAATTAAAGGTCGTAAAGTTGGAGGTGGTATTCGTCTTGGTGAAATGGAACGTGATTGTTTGTTATCACATGGTCTAGTTTTCAGTTTACAAGATCGTTTGGTTGATTCCAACTGTGATAAAGTTAAGGTAGATATTTTTCTAAGCTATAATAGTTATAGCACAGTAGTTATCAGGTTTTTCCCATGTTTTTTTCTGTATCTGAATTTTTTATTTTCATGGGATTTTTGTTTAGCTTTAAATATATTGCTGTGGTTAGTTTGTCTGTGTTGTTCTTTAACAGTTTACTAAATGTAATGTTCAATTCTATCTCTCGTTGATAGGTATTTTAAACGAAACCCTTAACTGTCGAAAACAGTTGTGGTGTTTCTAGTTTCAAAACAAATAAATTGTGTTCTTAAAACTTTAATCTGTTTGTAAAATATAAATTAATAAAATTAGTCCAAAAAGATAAGCCAATGCAGACTATTAAAAAAAGGAAGTGGTAAAAGTTTTACATACCAAGCACTAATTAAACGGCTCCACAATCAAATTGATGGAAACTAAATCATGTTAGTGAAAAATTCGCAGTTGTGTAATCATTAAGTTAAAAACGCAGCTACTCAGAATAAAGCATTTCAACTAAAATATTATTCATTAATCTGGTCTTATCGATCATGATTAATAAGTGGTTTTGAGGAAATTTCTGCTACTACTCATGAGAAGAAATGTCCTTCCATAGTGTGAGCAGCCAAGAATTGACAGTCACTATCATATCTCTATCAGCATTTAAGATCCTCTCGTTCAAATTCATATCCGTTCCTCACTTCTTGGTATTTCTTCTGTCCCCACCACCGACCCTTCTATGACTTTATCCCTATGCACCATCAATATTGATCATTCGAGTCCACGAGGTGTTATACCTTGTTTCTTGATATTGTGCTCTGAGCTTCACTTTGTGTCATATAACTTTAGAACCTTATGTCAAATAGGCTGACAGACTTTCTTGACTAGGGCTCTAGAATCCTGCACCGTCGATATATGTTGAGTCTCGGAAACATGAATACAAGATCCCAAGTATGGTCACTCACATTATTTCACCTAGTCAACTCAGAGGACTAGCGTGATTTACCATTCTTGTATCTGGGGACTTAACTTCTACCAAGTTTAAACTAGAACTGGCTTTCCTAGCCTGGAGTCTAATAGACTTTTATTTGTATGCTCTCTGACTAGAGTGGAAGCAAAATCACAAAAGGATGGGACTCACCTTTGTCCATCCGTCGTATCTGCCTACGCTCTCACTGACTGCAGTTCAAATTGAAGGATGAACTTTACAGAAATATTTCTGTTCTCCTACTAATAGCCAAATGCTCGGACTTAGTAATCATAGCGAGTTACCTTAACACTCCAGTAGATAGCTTGAACCTTCTGTAATGACCACAGAAAATTCAGTTTAACTAGCATAGTGTCTAAACTATTAGTTATCCCTCACTTAACGAGGGCTCGTGAAGATCGAGCTCGTAAACGTCAGAGTGGTTTCATACGTGGACGTGTAGATCGATTATTCGTACTCCCCCAAAGCCTGGAGCACAGACATACCTACCAACTCCCAGTCATAGTTGTATTTTTCAATTTTGACTCAATATTTGATTCTATAGATTAACAAGTTTTGTTTAGAAGTTCTTTTCGTTATGGATAATAAACGTGGCTTTTACAATTACAGGATTCAATCATAGGTGTCTTCGAAACATCACTCGCGTATTTCTGGACCATTGAGTTAACGATTCTGAGGTTAGTCTCAGAATGCTAATCAATAATCGCAAGTCGATTGACGTGGTAGCCAGTCTTTATCAATAAATATGGTGTGGACGTGTATCGTGTATGTTCATCCACTAACTACCTCGAATAGCGTTAATAACTGATGTAGGAGTAGTCCAGAAGGAAGCTATAAGGGGCCAAACTAAGACTTTTCACCAGTTTATAAAGACACCGACTATTGAACTGAGCCACGTGGGTTGATGTAGACCATCTGATTGGGATCCGTGTGATTATCGTAAGCGATGATTAAAGACTTTGAATGACATGACTCAAAATTGCTCACAATGGCGCAGGAGCGTCCACCTTTTGTCTTTATTCTTGATGTCCTAAGGTCAAACTTTTGCAATGAGTAATACTTATAATTTTCTTCATCGTAGAAAATGTGTTATACTTATATCAATCATGTATAACAACAGAATGTAAGTGATAAATTTGATAATAATTTCTGTATATAACCACACGACTTGTACTTTGATAAATCTCACCATACCCCATGCTAGTTTGGATCCTTTTCTAATTCTAAACATCTTGGGGCTTCTTCAATCGTATTAACGTGACAATCAACACTACGTGTTAATCAGGAAGGTGTCAACTAGACACTTGTAGAACTCATCAGCCAATATTAGTCTTCACTAACATGTAGCACATATTCATGAAATTATGTCAACGTTTGTTTACTACCTTGTTTGTTAATTTGTAGATTTAAATGCTTTTTGTATGAATTTCTCTTCTAAAGATGCTTGCCTGCTCCAAATGTGGTGGTTTAACGCATTCTGATTTGGCACGAAATATCACTAACACCAGTGTAAATCAAATGACCTCAAACGATTCGTCTTCATTTGTTCCAGGTACAAACCGGTGGTGTTGTCGTTTATGTGATTCTGATAGTAGTGGCTGTGTGTCTAGAGACAAAGATAACTCTCTTAAATATGTTCAAGTTTCAGCTGCATTTAGATATCTAACGTACGAATTAGCTTGTTTGAATGTAAAAACTCGATTATCATTGACTGACTTGGAGTAATTTGTGAATAATAATTATTTTTTTATTGATATCCAACTGCTTCTCTATTTTAGATGTTTCTTACTTCGTAAACTTAATGAACTGTGTGGTTAGATAAATGTCTATGCAATATGAAACCTTAACTTTGGTAAAATTATTGGGCTTTATAAGATTGCAAAATTTGGATTTTATTGAGTACAACCTAATTAAACGTAATTTTTTTATTTAAACATAAGTTACCGCTTCTAGTGAATACAACTACTCGGTAGGTTAGCGAAAAAGTACAAAATATATTCTGTATTTTGTTTATAGTCTTTAGTTATTTGTGTAGCGATCACACCTTTCGTAAAATGAGCCGCCTGTAAGTAATACTATTTAATATGCTATACAGTTGACTTCGTGAGCGTTTTCACCGATGTCTACATGCCGTAGCAGTGGATGTGTTCCATAGTTGTGTGAATCTGCTATTGTTTGTGGTGAGTTATGTGTTTGAGTGATAACTACTTTCAAAAACCTAATTATTACTGTTTATTCTACAGTGACTGGATATTAGAAAAGGGAAAACATCTGATCAATATACTGAGTGTTTTTGACTACTGAAATTGCACACTAATATTCAAAATGCGTAGCATAGAGAAATACATGTTTTAAATCCTTGGTATCATTACGAAGGTTTGACTTGATAATTGCGAATAAACTAAGCATTGGGTAGATTGTTATAAATAAATTAATATATTTGTAATATCCCGATGAGTAGAAAAATTAGTTTTTCTGACTTTTCGCGACTCAGTGTAATTCACTTCTTTTATATTCATTGGGATATTACCAATATATTATTTATTTATGTTTAAAATTTGTTTGGCTTGTAAATCATTATCAGTTGTTTATTAGCTAGAATGTTTAAGGCTTATTTATTGGGTTCACCTATTTCTTGTTTATGCAACAGTTTAGTTACCGAGAAATTATTATCAGTATTCTAGTTTATTTCAAATTGGAGTCTGTCACTTTACAAATTACCATTGATAAGTATTTTACGGGTAATGTTGGCAAAAAGTCCTTGTGTATGTACGCAATGCTAACGGGCAATAATTGTCCCATAATTTTTCCTTATTAACATTTTCGTAGAAAAAGTTGTGGGTTAGCTTCTTGTATTTTACTGACCATTTGCGCGTATCGAATTAGTTCTGCAGTTATCTCAGTTTGTGATAAACCTGTATAAATATAGAATTTAGAAAGATGAGACAAGCATATCAATGTTAGAATTATTGTTACCAATTAAAAAGTTGCAGTAAGTTGATCATCCCTTTCTTCTGTTAACTCTGCAATATTTCTGCGATTTTGTGTGTGGGTAATTAGCCTATTATTAGTTACCAGTATCATGTTATTTAGCCATGAGCAATGGTGCAACGTAAACTGTAACCCCTTAGATTAAAGAATGTAATGGAACCTAGCAGCTAGAACTCAATGAAAATTAAGGTGCAGGTAATTCGACATCGAGACTGAATGACCGATTAATGGAAATATCTCGGCCCTACAACTGATCTAATATTGTCTGATTGTAATTTGAGTCAATCTAATAGAGAACATCATATCCCTAACTCGCACGAAACACACCCCGGGTTTTCTCTCTGAATCCTTCCAGTCATCCAATGTAATACTGGTTACTTTGATGGCTTTTTCCAAGTCTAATTATGGGTTCACTATCAGTAATTATAATGATCACTTACTAGAGGAGATTAAGTATAGTTAAATTTATATTTATTCTTTTAATAAATAGCACTCAGATGGGTAATGTAATCACTAGTTTATTTCAATATTAAACAACTAACTTACCTGGTTGTACTCCGAAACAGTGTTTTTCAATTAAACTTTTATTTGATTTAGGATATCTGTCAACTATTGACCTATGTGTGTTTAAACATTAATTAATTCTTCAGGTTTGTGTTTAAGATCGATCAAGTATCTAAATTTGACTAACCCTTTAATTATCCTTTGTTGTTTTCTGTATTTAATTTGAATTTGATCATCACTTGACATCACTAAAGCATTCACGTCGTCCTTCGGCCCTCCAGTATCATCTGTATTTGTGGGGCTATCATTGTTTACTTCGGTTCTTTTCTTCATAGGCTATTCGAAAAAAGTTACCAGGACATATATTGTATTTTGTAACCGCTGACCAAAATCACGTACTCAATTAATAATCAGGATACTGATTTTAATTTGGTCTGCTATTTACTCCATAGCTCGATGTCTCTGACTTGGCCAACTATCCGCCCTACTATCATTATCGACCCTGACCAGGCAGCTAGCTTTCCACTGGCCCACTTTTCACTATCTCGTTTCTATACCCAGCCTTTGAGTTTAGAAGTCGACAGTCAGCCTCGAACACAACTGGTCGAGTGAGAGCTTATGACGAAATGTCATCAGAATTTATTACGTCAAGTGGTGTTCGTCAGGGTTGTCCACTCTCTCCATTCTTGTTTAACTTTGTCGTTGACGTGCTTTTAGAAATAACACTTTCCACATCTGAATTTCCAGAGGTTGAACTTCTACCGAAAGATTCACTTGTTGACTTGGAGTATGCCGATGACATAGTTATATTTGGTGAAGACGCTGACAAAATGCAGAGTCTGCTGACCACTTTAAGCAACAATGCAGGCATGTTCGGCATGCGATTCTCTCCCTCGAAATACAAAATGTTGCTTCAGGATTGGGTTGCATCGACACCTGAACTAGTGATAGGGAGTGAAGTAGTTAAGTATGTTGACCGCTTCACTTATCTTGGAAGTCTCATCAGTCTTTGTGGTCTGGTGTGTTACAAAATCTCAGCACGGATACAGAAGGTTCGACTAGCTTTTGCCAACTTGTGTCATCTATGGCATAGGCGAGATATCCGTCTATCAACCAAAAGAAGGTGGTTTGCTGCGCAGCTTTTCGTCCCGTCCTACTTTATTTCAGTGAAACACGGTCGGTGAGAGTAGAGGATACTCATAGGTTACTAGTATTCAATCATGGGTGTCTTCGAAACACTGCTCATATATCCTGGGACCACCGAGTAAGTAACTCAGTTGTTAGGAAACGGGTACCAGTTAAGGATGGCAAATCAATTGATGAAGTAGTAAAACTTAATCAGTTGAGATGGCTGGGACATGTGTTACGTTTGCCCGACCACCGACTGCCTCGACGTGCGATGTTTTATGGTGTAGGAGTGGGTTGGAAGAAAGTTAGAGGCGGCCAGACCAAAAGATGGCACAAATCCATGAAGTCACTGACAAGTGGACTGAGCCATGTTTATCCATCCAGTCACCCGCTACGTAAGTTTGTTATAAGATCTCACATTTTTCCGATACACTGATTCCGAACATCACTTACGCGCCAAGTCATTATAGAAGCTAGTGAATCAAGTATTATACTGATCTCTTTGAGAATATCGTAGGGCTAAATTACCGAACATCTAATAATTTTTTAGAATCTCTGAATTCACTAATCACTGCTGACTTATTGACACAATTTGTCATTTTTATGACAATCTATATATGAAGCTAGGTTGACCCTAAGGACACATTCTTCTCAATGTCGAATGAATGTGTACTTAGTTTTACATCAAACACGTATTTGACAATTCAGTTTAGCTGAAGCATTAGTTACATCTATGTTGTAGTTTCATGCTTCTGATGAGACGGACGCAGGTGTAGTTTCTCACCACAACATGACTAAACGCTGTACTTGTAAACCAGAAGGAGTAGGAGACTTGGGCCAACAATGAGTAATAGCAATACTATATATTTATGTGTAAGAGTGGGAGCGAATATTTTTCACTTATTCAAGCAATTGCGCGAACCTGTAGCTAATATTCGTTAAGTAACTTAAATTTCGTTAAAAATACCGGAACTTCGTATTCAACTTATCATATTAAACAAATGAAGTTTAATTAATTGATATACCTTCGAAATAATTCCTTCTTTCAGGAAGTGTTTAAACGGATATTTGATCCGGACATCCATTTCATTGGAAATTTTCGATTCACTGCGAATAAACGAGACAAATAAACTGATAAATATATTCGCTGGGTAATTAAAAGTGTGAATAAACGCAAAGTATAAGGGAATGATAGTAAATTTGTTGATGAGTTTGTGAATCTTGATTGACTGAGATAGTCGGGCCATGTGTTACGTATGCCTGAACACAGATAACCACGGCACGCATTGTTGACTAGTGTTGCAGACGCTTCGCAGAAAGTTGGGGGCGGTCAAACTAAAACGTGGCATCAGTTCTTAAAGTCACTAACTTCTGATCTGAGCCATATTAGTAGATACAGACTACTTGGTTGGGATCCGTGTGACTATCGTACCCAATGGCTGGAGACTGTGTGACATTGCTCAGAATCGATCAAAATGGCGTTGGTACATACACTCTTTGTCTTCCCTTAAGCCGTGTGAATAAAGTTACTTTGTACCATTCGTTCTACGAACCAATTTTTTCTCCTTGTATCACAATTTTATAAACAATATTTACTTCTATATATTATTACCATTCAAGTAGCTGCTTTTATGAATTCGGTGTTCACCTTATTGTGCTAATAAGATGTGACAACTTGGACCGAAGTATATATGTGCCTAGTACGAGGTTGCAGATAGCTCACTGACGTGTAGATGCAAAGATGGAAAATGAATTCGGTAAAGTACACCCAATTCGCAGAAAATGTCTTTCATGCATTTACCGTCTTAAAACCAGTAGCGGAAACAGGTCTTGTTAATGCTTTAAAAGTTATCATAGGTACAATGAGTCGGAAATGAACCAGTTAACTGGTTCCATCGGACTATATATTTGTGTAATTACAAAAATATAACAATAACTTAGATTTCATACTTGAAATATGTTTTTATATATGAGTATAAGTTGAGTGTGTGGCAGTAATTATAAGGTAATAAATTATTTTTGTGACTCAACTCAAAGTTTATTTGTATAAGTGTGAGAATCTATGTGGCTATATATGTAATTATAATGCCAACTTAGTTTATAACAATTCACTGCTGTTGTCTCTATAAATAAAAACGTGCTGTTATCCGAAAATACATAGAAATTTATAAGTCCTGATATTAATGAGTGCACTTGGATCAAATGGTTTATTACTGTTCACATAGTAAATCCTCGAATAATTCTTCGTTATGCATATAAATGTAGAGCCAGTAATAACCGCGTAGCTGATTCAATTAGTTGAATAATTTTATTTCAAAAGTACCTAGTTTACCGCTACCTTTGTTAAGCGGAAGATTGAAATACATAGTTAAATTTGTTATAGTAACGTCAAAAGTAGTATATTATAACAAGTAATAATTGAGTTCAGCGTATAATATCCGTTTGGTGATAGGGTATAAAGATTGTGATGTCCACACGCCTGACCTTAGCTTTTGTGTAACAGTTTGTAATAATCATTACAAGTTGATATATTGGCATAAATATAATGACTAAGAGAAGAGTTAAAAAACATAAAGCAGCAATGCAAATGCGTACACAAATTGAATTGTTGACAGATAAGTGATGTAAGTAGGAAACTGGAGATAACTCTGGATGTGGTTGGAGTATAATTAGGTTCATCAATAAATTTTTTACGGTTTATTTACATTTAATTTCCTTTCGAAACGAAGTCTTGTAATCCATGAATACGTTCTTGTAGCTTGAGTATTTCGGTAAGGATATTTATTAAAAAGTTTCCATTACGACAGCTAAGTAAACACTTCATATGTGATTGACATGCCGCATGAAGAAGAGAAATATAATACTTCTATGTTTACTTTGTAATGACCGATAATATTCACATTTAAATTCGAATATTACAATTGTAATATTTTACTGCAACAATTTTTAGGTTGTTTATTAGGTCGTATTTCATTATAATGTTGTTCCTTCCTCCGAGAATAATGGAAACAATTTGCACAAAAACATTCAGAAATATGTTCAGCCTAGCTAACTCCAGAGTTCTATATATTTCAAGCTCCCAACTTTGTGGAAAATTTTACGTATTTTGGAGAAGCTGCTTTAGTAAACTTTGTGGAAATGGCAAAAAAATCCCGAATTTCATCAAAAGACTGAATTTTGACACATTTAAATGTTTATAATAGTTAATAAAATTACACATTGTTCATTTATACGACGTTTTTCATTGCTCTGTTAGTGTAACATGTTACGCAGAAGTTGAACTGTCATTTAGTATGTTCTAAAAAATAAAAAAAGACGTTTTATTTTACAATCACATTTGAAGATATGTGAAACGTCGATGACGTACAAACAGTATGACAATTCTCTCAATAATGCGAACAAATAACTTACAGTTACGTCAGATAAAGCCTGTGAAGCCAGCTGAAAACAAGCGAATATGACAAAAGTTTTATCACTGTAATATTGAGCCCAAAGTAATAATTAAAGTGCAATATGTATTATTGCTTTTGCTTACCTTTTCTTTGGATCGTCATCCACGTTTATTAACTTTATACCTTGCATCATGCAAGAAAGCCTGGCTTGCTGTACAATACTTCAAAGTAATCATGGATTTGATTTAGGTAGAACATCGGTGTGGTTGAAACATGCTATATGTACTTCTGTGAAAGTTGAGGTAGTCGTTTCTAACTACATGAACTTTGGAGCCGAACACATAAATAATTAAATTTACAGTCAACATTTAACACTAAGGGAAGGTTAGAAGTGAGCGCGAGAACAATTGACTGAAATTGCATTGCACGGACATGCGGGTGTGGTCACCATTTAACGCAAACCTTTTCATATCAAATCTATTCTAACCCGAGAATAACATGACAAACCTACAGTTTTCTGTCTTTAACATAACTCACAAACACCATGTTTCATTCAATTTTGTTCGCGAACACTCAACATTTGATTTGACGTGGCCTCTTCCCGTTATTACCAATATTTGTAGTTTACAAGCGTAATGGATTGCAGGTACTTAAAAGTATCTATATTAAGTTACCTGATAATTTACTAGTCGATATCCTCACAGGTTTCTACGAAGTGTTGCGGTTTTACGTCTATCGGTTGTGGTTTATATATTACAATGTTATGATCACTACCTGGAAACCTTTTTCCAATATACACAGTATTAGGGGTGCAACTACTCGTAAAGACTAAGTTCAAGATATTTTGTTGTTTGGTAGGGCTGTTGACATACTGAGTCCATTGTCCGAGCTCTACAAATTCAATAAATGATTCATAACGTTTCGGCGCCTTGACAGGGAACCAAAAAACGTCGGGCATGTTGAAGTCACCACAAATAAGCTTGCCTGTGAATGGAAGAGATGATGCTGGTGTGAATATCTCCCATATTACTGCTATGTCATCTACTGATGCGTTAGGTTGGCGGTAAACACAGCCGAACAGTAAGGTAACGGAACTCGACGTCTTTAATACAATCCACACCAAATCCTCCAGTTTGTTTAGTTCAGGCATATCACATAGTAGTGAGTTTAGGCTAGAGTGAGTGCAAATAAGGCATCCTCCGCCTCGTCCTTTCAATCCATCACTTTTATATGGGAAATAGTTATCAAGAGATATACTTAGGTTGGAAATATTACTGTTAGTCCATGCTTCAGATATCATTATAAGTGATGGTTGATATATGGATACAAACAGGGCTAAATCCGTCTTTTTATTGCAGATCGATTTAGAGTTGATGAGACATATGATAAGACATATTATTCTCTCCAGGATCAAATGTTTGTAATTCTTCATTCTTTCAAGTCCTGTTTAGTCATTTTTTAAGGAGATATGGGAGATCCAAACAATATTTTTAAGTCCACAAGGATATGAGAATTTTTAAAAACTTTGGTCTGTTTCGTAAACTTTTATGTACGTTTAAGCTGGGAATATTTTCGTTTGTCTATGTGCAACTGAAGAAGCATTCTTTGTTCGACATTCTATGAGCCTCTCATGGAAGTAGACTGGTTGACCAAGACATTCGCTGGATATTTCGTAGTGTTTTCGATGTTTAAGTGTGAGTCATTTTAGATTTGTTGATGTTCATTTTTAGTCTCTAGTACACCTGCAGGGTATCATAGTACTTAATTAAAAGTAAAATGTGAAAAACCAATCTACTGTTCAATGCAAAAACACAGTGCTTTCGTGAAATATGAAAATCATGTATAAAATGCATCATTTGCACAGTTTCTTTGAATTGTAATTTACACACCCTACTACTCCTGTAATTCTGCTGTTATTTCAATTACCCTCTGTTTTCTTTTTTTCCCTTCTCAATTCAACTTTTGTGCTGGTATGCATTCGATTTTTGATTGGTGCTACATACTACTTATAACTGTCGTCACATGCGGCATATGTCATACCACTAATGTGGTTAATTGTGACCGGTTGTGAATGATATCCGATTTCTATGTGTCTGCAGTTACATCTTTGATACAATTGGAGTCTGTTGCTCTCTCGCCTTTTCGCTTTTCCTCAAGTATCATCTGTTACATGTTGAGCTTTTCAGTTTTACAGATGATTAAGGCTGGAACTCAGTCCGAAGACAAAGGTTGCTTTGCACCATGCATCCAACATTCAGATGGCAGGTCAAAAGTCTACCAGAGGTGGAAGGATAACCAATTGTGACGTAACCAGCATCCGCAGAACCCTTTCTCATTCTATGAAACAAGCCATGTAATTGGGCGATTTGGATACGAGAAGTGAAAACAAACTGGCATCCGGCATGATACAGGTGTTTCGGTGATCATGATAAACAATGAGTTGTAGGTGGAGATTTTAACCAAGACGGTATATTAGCAGTATCAAGTAGTGGAAAAACCAGATAAGCGAAAGTTTCGTTCCTGAAATATGGCAAACATTAAGTATTAAGCTAAAGCTGTTAAAGTTAATTAATAATTTAAATGATATAAGAAAGAGAAATATATCAAACAGTAACATCCGAGTAATTTTCTCTAATTGATATGAGCAATTTCGCTGAATATGTAAGAAATAAGTCTGAGAGGAAAGTTAATCATACCATTACAACAGACCCTGTCCGTGAAAGTCGACTAAACAACAAAATGAGGAAAAAGAAAAGAAAATCTTCCGGCTAATGAATCCTTGTCATCTAACTTTTCTCATATAGCTTTACGTAATACTATCGCCTAGTTCCCGAAGCAAATTTATTCCACATTTTGTTTAGCGCTGATAAGTGGTAGCGCGCATAATGAAATCAGTTGCATATGAATGTACTTCGCTCAGCTGTTTCCCACTTGGTCTTTCACGGTTAGTAGTTCTTGTAGTGAAACGAAATAGTTTAGAATTCAGATTAAATGAAGAAAGGACTTCCATTTTAATTCACTGGAGCTTCTGAAAATGTGTTTTTTATACTTACTGACTGTTAATTAATATATATATATACTTCTGAAGATATTTGTACATACTGGCTCAAATAATGGGTAAACGTTATTGAAAACTATTTCAAAATATAGATCTCAAAAATCCATGGGAAAATTTTATTTTCGACCAGACAGTCGATAATATTAGTCAGTTTGTGTAATTATTATGTTTTTGATTTGTAGATGAATCCTCTGAATGTTTTAACAATATAAAGCTTAGTAGTAAGTTTGTTTTACAGAGAAAACACTCGTACACAGACTTTCCTTTTCTCAAAAGTCAGTTTTCTTCCATCGACTATCTCATAAAGTGTGAAATATGCAATGTTATGCTTCTTCCGGAGAGCATTTCTTTGCATTATGGTTTGCTTATTTTATTTAAATTCTATGATAATTTTTACTACTAGACGACAGGCACTCAGAGCCCACAAAGTCTGCTGGTTCCGCTATATTGCCCTACGAAGCTGTTTCTTGGTGTGAATGTCAGGCTGAAATTGATTCCAAAAAGGATCGGACTTCCAAACGCACTAAGATCGCACCTCTCAAACGTTCTAAACGCAACACACCAAACTCCTTAGATGCCACGTCTTATTCAGTTAAAATGGGCATATCGAAAACAGTTATTACAGGTCGAGAAGTAGAAAAGACCAGTCATGAGGAACTTAGGGAACCAGTTTTGTTGAAATTAGCAAAGTCAGATGGAAGAATATCTCAAAGTGAGGAAGTGTCCAAAAAGCCTTTGAAGACACCTGCAGAAAGCAAACTTAATGAGCGATCTGTGTGGTCGGTTGTTTGCCCAAGAGAGCATTCTGCTGGTAATTTTTATGAACTTAATTCCAAAGGTCAGGTTGAGGAAAGTCGACACTTGGGGAAAGATATGTTTGAATGCCGATCAAGTTTTAATCATTCTAACGATTCTGGCATCGGATCT